GGATAAGGGGGTCATCTTCTTTAAGCCTCCTTAGCATTTGTTATATAACCATCTTCTAACACTACAATGTACTTCGTCGCTCATCTGTGGTTCCACCCCAGCAAGATCTTACAGGCGGTGCTAGAACAAAGTATCCATCATATCAACCATTCAATAGGATATTCTGGTTCAAGATAAATAAACCCGTAAAGGCGGATTCTCAATTCAATCCATCATTCGACGATTCCGAAAGCCAATCTCCGCCTTTTGTGTCAATCTAGAAAGGTTAAAAGGCGGACGGTTGTTTAAGTTAATTCTTCGATGACTTTAGCAGCATTGTTTAATGTCTACAACTCACCCGAGACTAGACGTTACCAACTATACTCGACCTTCCCTTTAAGACATTTTCCCCGAATCTGCCTAGCAGCTTTGGGCAAAGTCTGGGGAAATGCATATGTAGGGCTGATGGAGTGTCCCCAGGTATAGTAAGTCAATTATATGTCGAGTCCCGTGCCTGTGCTTCTTATATCCGTTCGTTAAATACCGAGACAAGATCATCTCGTCTCGACGTGCTATTTTAGGGATATGACAGAATTAGATCTGGTTAAGACATTATGACTATATGGGTACAAATTAAAGAAGATTCGATACTTCATTATCAATGTAAAGCCTAAGCATGAGACCCCTCGTTCATTCCATTGGGGAGATATTCGCTATTGGACGATTTATCAAAGATTAACTACAGCCTTAGACCCTTGTATGAGTCGACTTCAATTAGTCAATTTTGCGAAAGGTGTGAGGGACTTCGAATTATAGACTAGCTTAGGTATAAACGAAGAGATCAAGGAGCAAGTAGTTCTTAGGAAAAACTGAGAAGTTTTCTCAGGGATGGGTAAATAAGAACCACAACCTCTCCCGAAGACTTGACCTGGGTCTGCTCTATTCGATTTCCTTGAATGTATCGTGTCCACTCTACCGAATAATCTTCCACGTCTTCTCCCTAGTTCCCGAGGACGAAGAAGGATGTAATACCAAGTATTTCATACGGCCCATCCGGAGCTACAACCGACTTGATCATCATGAAAAGACCGAGGGTTCATCAAATGGACAGGGGCACAGGTACGCAATATATGCCGTTGTCCATAGTGAAGCGGAACTGATGTCCACCCATTCTTGGTATATTGGAAATCCTCAACAAGAAGCAATACATAGCTTTGAGTTAGCAATCACCGTTTCTCACAAAACAACCGCCCTCTCGAGACCGGGATGCTCAGCTCCTGAGAAGGGAATTACATGGGGGCCAGGCATTGTAAGTAGGTAGTTAGACAAGCTAGCGTGAATGGGATGTTAGGTGGAATGGTCGGATCAACCTCATATATACAAGATGATCGATGTATCATCTAGTAAAATAGTCAGCTATCCTCTACGCTACCGCTACATTACCTTGAGCTACGTTTAGGGCGGTATGAGTCTCAAATCCGGAGCATTAGAGAGTAAAGAACTCTCCTAGACTATCGAAGACCCCATGACTACCACTAAAGCTCTCGGATTAAGGTATTTCTAGGTAAGTCATGTCCACGTGTGATGGATAGGTTATGTCTAGCTAACATACCTCAAGCTAATAAGAGCATCAAGGGCCGTCAGCTGTACAAAGTATTCCAACTCTAGAGCAGGAAATGGATGGGGTAACACATTTCACACTGACTTAGACCCTACAAGAGCAATGTTTTCTGTAGTCGCTATATTGACTTCAAAAACCACCAGATCCATTTTACCTATAGTACTACACAGCACACTAAGTCATTAGATGATAATACTAATCTAGAAGGCATCCATATTCTTGATGAAAAGAAACTCAACCCATTTCAAGTAAGCACTCCTGAGCATCGTGATTAGTCAAGTGGAGAGCAGCAACTCGTTCATTTATAGCCCGATTAAACAGAATACACCATGAACCTAAAGTCTCGACGCGAGTCTGCAATCTCTACTTTCCAAGGGTTAAACCCAAGATTACACAAGCCGCAAAATGACGAACGACTCAGACTTCTTAAGTGCATTCAGAGGTATTATTCTGTCTTTTCTGCAAAGAACTTTACTGCTGCAAGGATTCGTTTGGGGTTGCCCCGAAAAGAGTTCCCGCATTACATACGATGGTACCATTTGCAAGCTGTTAATGCTTGCCGTCGTCCGGATTTCCCATAGTGGTCATGTTTCGAATGGAAAGGTAAAGCAGCTTATAGCGATAGGCTGGGTTTCGTAATTGAGCCTGAGAGAATATTCGGACGAATGACGAGACTACCGATATTATGATCTTAAGCTACGTTAGAATCGAGGGTACTATTTTGACCATCGATGGTGTGCTTGTAAGACTGGAGGTACGGAACGAGCCGTGCAACGATGCCTACATTCCCGGGACAGATTTTCTTCTTGGCATCCTGCAAGAAGGCAACGTTTTTCGTAAAAAGTACTTTGCCTCAAGTTTTCGACTTTTTGGTGGTTGGGAATTGTCCTTTTGATACACACCCATGCCAATGTTCGTTACGTTGTGTATATGCTAGAAGGAAGCGCAGGGTCCTATAGCCGGCGTGCGATGATACTCTTGTTTGTTGAGCTTGGACTAGACAAGCAGCAGGACTACTATGCATTGTTTGAAAAGCACAATATATCTAAGACTAGCAGGTACAACCAATGAATTGAACGATGCCTCCAATAAGGCCACGATACTAGGTGGAATTCGTGTTAGCAAGGGTAAAGTTATAACGACAACGATATATTATTTACATACCACCTATAAGTCAAGTTTACTTTTTAATTATCCCGGGTGGCGGCCGACCCAGAGCTCCGGTCCTAGCTTCTGCAATGTTGTCGGGGCGTCCAACTGTGTAGCGGCGAAAGGATCACTACGATTTGTGGCAGGTAAATTTTGATGCCCAGCGAATATTACGTAGCCCAATATATTTTGGAACACTATTTAATGTGTTAATAGACCTATGACCGTTTCGTAAGACAAGACTAAATGAGACAGCCATCTCCATGTCTTAACTTGAGTTGAGCTGGAAATAGCCAATGTTGAAATCTTATGCATGGCTCAAAACACAAAGTCACTAGCTCGAATCGAATCTTCCGCCTAGCTTTGTACGCCACAGCCATTTCAGGGTCCCCTGTCGTGAAACCGTGAGGGTTGTCGACCTGTAATATATCTTACACACGAGAACGTAATAGGGGAAGTTGAAAAATCGTGTTAGCTGAAAGACTCGCCTATGAATCCGTTAGTTTGTCGGTAGCATGACTTCCCGACAATAGCTTATATGTAAGGGTTTCTCGCCTGTAAGATGGAAGAGCTATATCGTTACGTAGCATTTACATATTCGCTTATTTGTAGGCAATTCGAAGCATCAGCCCTATCTACGATCGACCCTGTCATCGATCTTACCGGCAGCCCATGCAAGATCTACATAAGATGCAGATCGGTTGACTATCGACAGCCTCAATAAAAAAGCTTCCCGGGATTTGAGTCATTGGTTCAGAATTTCTCGGGATCTGATCAGCCTCGGAAATAAAGTGCACTAATGCACATCCGGCCGCATAAATACAGTCAATGAAGAAGAGCCGTTCGAGATCGCCGTGCCTCTTTGCTGCATAAAAGTATAAGTCTGTTTATGTAAGAAGCTTTGGTGTGTACAGTGTGTTTCGGGTAGTATGCAGCAAGAATCCCTCTGTGTGTGGTTACTATCGTAAGTTGAGTTGTTCCGATTTGACGATCTCGAATATCTGTAGATGAGTTTGTTAAGACATAAGGCTGGAGGCGTTGCGAAACGATTGATTCATGTGTCCATATATCAGCCACAACGGAAGCCAGTCCGTCAGGGAGACAGCGAATTATCATTCTGGATGATGGTCATTCGAGCGCCCGACAGTGTTCTGGAATCCCATGAAGCCGCCATGGGAAAGTTTAGAAAATGCATATTGCATAATTCATAAATATCTAATCGTGGATAACTTCGCGTGCCAAGCGCGTATCTACATATCTTCATTAATGCCAAGCGTAGAGTTGGCCCTGTGTTAGTGAAATGAGGCTCTACAATAGCAGCGTCTCATTCACTAAGGCGACAGTTATAACGGCCGGTTAGGACTTACAGATTTTATTCGCTATCCCGTAACCTCCTATTTGCACAAAAGTTTTATTCCATTCGCTGATTTGTACCGACGCGTCAAAAGTGACGTAGCAAAAATACTCACGATCTTAACGTAGGACTCGCATCTTGGATGTTCAAGGGCGAATCTTTAAATTAGATGTTATTTTTACACTATGACGGCCTCGCAAGCTTAGGTGAGGCTTGGGCTAGGGGAGCGTAAATAATAGCCCCGGACTTCTTGACGTATTCTGCGCCCCGAAAATTCCCAAGAGTGTGGTAACCCTTGCAAAGAACCCTGTAGATATGCACAATATTTTACCCCTGACCCTTGTCGACATGTTTGTTGTACTTCCCAAGATCCAACGACAAGTGAAAACCTCCGATTTAGATCTGTCCGAGATCTTTAAAGATCGTGTGCGATAGAAGATCATTGTAGGCCGTTTATTTGCCGTGCGTTTGTCCCTAGTAACATATTCCTTATTCGATTACTGATCATATTTCACTAGTCTTACACCATCTCATTCTACAGAAACTAGTTACTTTGCCCCGTTTTACAGGCCTCAGCCTTGACCTAAGCCTGAACATAGCATATCCCTTAATATTCGATCTCGTACGTTATGATTATAGCATCATACCGTGGTTATCGACGCATTTCCTAGGCTAAGATCTCCGCGGAAGAATTGAGCATATCGAAATAGTTACTCTACACCATGGAAGAAACAAGACGCCACTTCTCTCCTTTTCAGGTGAATATGGGGCTCCCTGTCCAAGAAAGGGCATTCTACTCTTGGTGGGGACAATACTGAGTAACTATTTCCTTGGGAGCGAGGTCCGGGATTGATACTTCACAGTAGACATAGGTAGATGCCTGTACTACTATTTGAGTCGTGTTTCTAGAGCCTCACCCCCTGTGGTGATATATCAAAGAAACCCGTAAGTCGTTGACACGTAACAAATGACACAGGCGCGGACCCTGTTCCAGCGGAAATGTCCGCAAGTCACATAGAGCCCCATTCGAATAATTTATCCTTGCTAAGAATCTAGGGATTATGTCACAGTAAACGAAAGCATTGGTAAGGTTTCGATGCTTCTGAGACTTTGCTGGTGCCACTCAGGGACTCAAGGTTTAAAAGCTCGAGCAAGATTCCGTAGCGATGGTGGGATGTTGTCTTTTAAGCGGCAACGGCATACAGGTTTCGCTGCAGCCGAACGAGTTAGGAAAGCACCAAGACCCTCCCTACACGAAGTATATCCGCCGCAGTCATGGTAAAGGTTGAAGTCCAACCGCCGGCGCAAGTCCAGGCGGGAGCAGTCATGTACCCGCCACTCGTCGTAAGCTCTAAGAGCGATGATGCCTACGACTTTATACAGGTTGCCCTCATCGACTCATACGGACGCGTCCTCGAGGATCAGCTGTACGGCACACTAACGACATCCAGCAAGAGCATGCACGACAGGTCTGCTTCTCGAAGCAGCCGAGCTAAGGAATACTCTGCCTTTCCCGATCTCGTCATCAGCTATGCTGGCGTCTACGCTCTTCAAGTAAGCGCCATACGCATGGATTATGCATCGCCAGATGGCGCGGCGGCAATCATCGCCGCATCGACGACGACGAGACAAATTATTGTCTACGATCAGAGCGTCGCTACGGAGATTCCATGTAAGTCTGCAAACACTATAATCATCTTTCAGTGCTAAGCCGAATACTAACACATTGCATTGACAGCCCCTGATGAGCAATCTCTTCTACGAAAGCTACGACGAGATGGCGCGTTTGGCGTTCCTCGGGCTCCCAGATAAATCAACGCCAAATCCGTTGTACACCTATGGAGATACTCTTGGATTTGGATAATCGTGGTAAATTGGAACCTAACTTATAGAGGTGGCAAAATAGAGGTGGTATAGAGCAAGAGTGGGTTTACAGGATGCTTAGAGCTTTATTAGAGGTCGATCTTTTACAATCAGACGAGTTGATTCTTCAAGGAACGTTCGCACAACATAGAAATTCAATTTGACTATTCTTACCATATATAGGTACCAGCTAATTCTACTAAACGTGACGGTCATGATTCCGTATATCGTAGATAGATTAAACAGCTCTTTAAATTAAGACCAGACATGGCTCTCTTCAAGAATTCAGTGTTATATTATGTGTTAGATTTAGTTGAACTATGGTTTCCTTGACGCTTTGTTAAATGACTCTAACTCAAACAATTCAGTCGAGCTACATGCACTAGCTACTAAGCACTATGAATGATTTTGCTATGAGATACCTTTCAGAAGCTATACAAATGTCCTAATTTGTAATGCAGATTCACAGTGAGTGAGTTCCACTCACTCCCGTATACTGTAACCAGCACTAAAGAAACTCACTACACAAAGTAACTCGTATATGCAGCAACATCCAGGCAGGTCAAAGCAAGGTCAAATTAATCCGGTCCAACCCATATTTTGAGTCCTATGTATGTCTACTATAATAATGCTGTACAACACTGGGAATTTCTCATTCCATGTCTATGGTAGCGACCACTGGCCGATCAGGAATGGCATTCAAGGCGTTCAATATGGGGAAATAATGAGGATTCTACCTCTATTCGACACGTCATCCTTATATTAATAATCAGGGCCTAGATCATTGTCGTCGAAGCTTGGGTATAGACATTGGCGCACATTGTATATTCTAGAAATATTCTCCCGAGGAGCTAATTAACTGGCGGCTATCACGTTATGTGATACCACAGCTCATTGAAAAAAGCAATTTAGGGAAGATCAGGCGTGGATGTGGCTGCAGCCGGTGGTACCTCAGGCCAAACACATGCCAAACTAGTATAATACTAGAAATTGATATGAACCCCTGGCTTATTGTTATGCTCATACCCTATTATGTTAGGATACGTTGGGTATTGTAGAACAAGATTAACTAAACTTACAGTGCAATTTAACTACTCATTCTAGTAGATATTGTTTTTGTAGAATTACAATACCTATCACCGAGGATGGGAGAGTTTGAATTTAATACGGTAGGTCGAGTCAACCGCATCTCAGTATCGAGATATGTACAACACTCCCCCTCTTAATGCCTGAATATACACTTCTCATGCCCAATTATGAGTATGTCCGATATTAAACGCATCCGAGACCCTATGGCTTGCCTCCACCATATATAGAGTCTATGATAGGTGAATTATAATTCTTGTGACCCAACTGCTCATACATCAGATTTAAGGGACTTTGGTGCGTAACTGGATGCCATGCCAGCCTTTCATCTGATCGCCTAGCACAGCATTGACCATTCTCTGCTGCTTTAGCATATTCACACCTCGAAACTTTTCCGATGCAATCTCAATCCCGTACATGGACCCGCAACCACCTGATATGTCTTGAACCATAAGCTCCGTCGGTGCGAACTCAGCCGTTAGCTTGTCCCATATTGCCGACTCGGCATCGTCGAGGTAATCTGGCTTTTCGGGGAGATGTGACTCGGTCGGCGGGGCGCTAGCTGAGCTTGCTGCTGCGGAATCGGGAGAGGAGGAATAGTGTCGCATAATGGCGTGTTGAACTTTGAAATGGTCGCTTATGGCTGGCTGAACTAATGTTCGTATTTGAGTTTGTATCGAGGATATATGTATCGGCTGGGCGTAACGCGACAATGTGGCAGAGCTTCGTTTAGGAGCTATCGCAACGAGGCGACGGCAACGGTGACATAGCATGACGAGAATTAAACCGAACACGCTCCGTACGAAATGCAGAGACTACCACCATACGAGAGTGTATAGTAGAAAATCGGGTTGGCCGTATCTGTTATACAGTATTATGTGAAGCCGGGAGTTGAGATGTTGAGGAATTCCGGAAATTACAAATTACGCTCAAGGTCGCAAAGGTCGACATATTAAAAATCCAAATGCACGATAACCATCTATCGATAGGTACGTACCTACGTAATCCTACGTAATTGTCATCCCGCAGTCATCGATTGGATAGACGTCTTAAGTGAACATCCGAGCTAAAGCAATTAAGCTTATAGAATTAAGACTAGAATATTCCATTGAGGGATATATGTACTAAACCAGGTGATAGAGCCATAAACTCAACTTTTCATAGCTTGGACATTATCTTCCATCTTTCCCCTTCTCAAGATCAAGTCTTATTTCTATCTTTACTAATTCACCAAGAGGTAACCCTATTTATGACATTAGATACAATGCTCGCTATACCTTTTCTTAACTAATATACAGACATCAGATCTTCAAGTAAACCGGAGAGAGAAGTCTACAGACTCGTAAGTATCATACTCGGCCGGATCAGCGGCGTCGCCGAAGATGTGCAGCGCTTCGAAACGCAATTTGTATGTGCCTGCCGGTGCCCATGTGCCGTCCGCAAGCCTTCCGTTCCAAGTCAAAGCGAAGGGATCACGAGGGGCGTAGCGGAGCGGTGAACCGAAAATGTGGCTACCAACATCTGCACCCGCGGAAGCAGTAGCATTTGCCGGAACAACCTTGACGTTGACTTGGGGCGATCCGAATGCCATCAGCGTTACAGCAACAGGGTATGAGGTGTTGGCGACGGTGCTATCGGACTTTGGCAGCACGAATGAAGTGTGAGCTGGGATGGGGTTCAGCTCTTCGTCTGTTGAGATCGAGAGGTAACCGACATCCAGGACTCTTGTGCTGTGGAGGCTACCAACGGCTCCGTTGTACGGCAGAGACAGGCTATCGCCATTGGTGCCGTTCAGGGTAATATAGCCAGAATATACAGGTAAGCGGGTAGCATTAAGCGCAGGTGGAGTAACCGTAACAGAAACGACAACTTCTTCCCCGCCCGGAACGGTCACCTTAGACTCGCTAAGAGTGACAGTGGCATATTCGTCTGTCAACTCTAGACCTGGGAAAGTATCCGGATATATGGAGTCAGAGAAGGTGTATCCAGTTGTAGCACCTACGCTACCTAATTCGTAAGTGACTTCTTCAGAACCCAAGTTCTTAATAGTGAAGTTCAGCGTGTCGACGAAGTTGTCCGTGTCATTGAAGGCGAGGCTGGACTTGCTCAGCAAAGTGGTCGCGTAAGCAGCATCGTACGCTTGAACTATGCCAGAGCCGAGCTGCGCAACAGGCGCAAGCGACGAATAAGTTTCGGTTCCGTCGTTCAAGAACTGCGGGTTCGACGTTGCCGATAATATGTTTTCAAGAGTAGCGGGGTCGAGAGTGCCGCGCACGTTTGAGACAAGAGCATAGATGGCGGCGACCAAGGGACACGCCATCGAAGTGCCAGACAAGATGGCGTAAGCACCTAGAGGAACCGGGTATGTCGATAAAATATCACCTCCAGGAGAAGCGAGCTGTGGCTTGACATCCATCTCGAATGTCGGGTTCCAGGTCGTAAAAGAGCTTGCGAACCCACCAGTAATGTTATTATTCTGGTAAGTCAAACTATTGCCTATTAGATATTACACACTGAAGTTCGTTGTCAAATTCTTACCTAATAGGTGCGGTAGAGGGGTCAAGCATGTCCAGAAGAACCTCGGATCCGTTTTTCAGCAAAGTAACCCACGATTCACCTTGATCAGCTGTCACCTAATTTAAAGGTCAGCTACGATTCTAGATACTAAAAGAAATCTAAAGCTCGTCCGCTTACCATGCCAGTTCCCTGGATGCCGGTAACCCCAGAAGTAGCAGGACTTAATGCCCCAATTCGGACATTGTTATAGAAAAGAACGTATTTCGCTCCGAACTGCGCCGCGTTGGTTGCCTTTTGGACAAAGGTACAGGTACCGCGACGGATCAGCACGATGTAGCCTGACAAGTCAGGAGTATCTTCTGGTAATGCCGTGCAGCCCTGATTAGCCTCTGTGACATCGAAGGAGGGAGTCCACAACGGAAGATTGACGTTGGCCCATTCTCCTGGTTGTCCAAGACTATAGCCAAAATACTTTTGCTCGCCACCATCCACAGTAAAGTTTGACGTGGTGAGGAGTAAAGGTGTGGTCTCGCTGTCGATTGAAGCAATCGATGTAACTTTCTTGCCGTTGGAAGCTGTGCTGGCATAGAATAGACCGGCCGCTCCATCATTACCGGCCGAGACTGTGCAAGGAACACCGGCTTCGACAATTCGAGATACGGCGACAGACCAAGGGTCTTCGCTCCAGCCAGAGGAACCACCGATTGACGCTGTGATGATGTTTGATCCGGCCTCGAACGCTTTCATGTAAGCATCAATCAAAACGTCATTGCCAGCACCACCAGTACAACCGAAAACCCTGAACATGCCAAGGGTGACATCGGGGGCAGCGCCAGTAAAACCCAGCTCGTTTGCCTGAGCCGCGATAATTCCAGAGACATGCGTGCCGTGGCCTTCGCAACCATCATACGGGTCGTCGTCAGGTACCGGTGTGTTGTCACCATTGTAGTCATCACCAACGATGTCACTACCAAAGGTGAATAAACAGTCGGGGCCACCAAAGCAGCCACCTAATGCGGGGTGGGTATAATCAACCTGAAGATGGTAAGCCGCTGATGTTTTTCATTTGTATACAATCACCTACACCTGAATCAATGATACCGATCTTGACTCCCTTCCCGGTGATCCCCTTTGCCCGAAGCTTGTCCACCTGGGTCATCACATGTGGTGTGAAGACGTCGTTTCCAAGTTGCCTCTTAACGTTCTTCATATAGTTTTCTCCGCCGCTTCGTCCCGTCCAGACGATTTCATCTTTAGGTAACGAGTATACCCTATTTGGCCATACCTGCTTAACGCTAGGAAGCAAGTCAAGCTTTCCTGCTTCTTCCTCGGCTGTCTTCAAATCGTGAAACTGGATAGATACGCCCCTGAATAACTTATAGTCCAGGTTCATGCGCGTCTTCGCCTTTGAGCCAATGTGGTTAAAGAATTCTGCCGAGTCCTAATCCCAAGTCGCAATCAGTTAGTATAGCACACACACACACACACACATCTTTCACTACACGTTCAGGCTAAAATACCTGGGAATCTTCAAACTCCACAATGTAAGACCCAGGAACGTGTCTTGTTTCTCCCGCTATTCTAGCCTCGACTGAGAAGATGCTCAGTGCGCTCGTGAGCAGCGGCAGCAAATAAGAACCCCGAACCATCTTGGACAAGCAACGCGGCAACAAGGTGAAGCCGGCAAGCGAGTGTTTAGGAACGAAACACCAAAAGAGAGTTGCGGGGGCGCCAAACCACTCAATGAAGAAGGGTTAAGAAGAGGTAAGGACCTGGGTCTCTAAGCAAAGGTGGGAGTATCTATGAGTATTTGTAGCTGTTTGGCAAGCCATCTGGGGAATAGCGAAGGCATGACCTGCTAATTTGCGGATCAACGCATGCAAGATTAGACGTGTCATCGCGCCGCGCATTCACGTTGCATTATAAAAGTGAGGGTTGATAAAGTCTTCAACCTATCTAACCAGTTTACTCGCTTGCTATTATCAACCCAGCTTCCGTAGTAGTATTAGAGACGCAGGGCGGACAAGGAAGGCAGGTGGATAGCCACAGAGCACAGAGGTTCCTTGACCTGGAGAAGCTTGGCAGGGGAGGGGTTGCCGATTGTGGGCTAGATTCCGGGAATGAATTAGACAATGCTTTATCGGTTGGTGGAAATATCAAAGATCCTCGTGGTAATCTGTGTTTTCTCATAACAGAGAGGTGAGACTGAATTCCGCTGACAGGCTTGGCGAATACACAACAGTCTAGGTTAGGTGAGTTAGAGATGTTAACGATATTGATTGTGTCTATTCTCTACTCTCATGATTATGAGTCTATTGCCTTGCCCTACATGTATTCATCCTATATTTTTCATCGAGGTACATAGAGCAAGATAAGCAGTTAAGGCAAGGAGGGTCCAGGGTCTAATCGCATCATTTCTTCGAAAACAGTCGCGAGGACCCCAAATGGGGTAGATATCCCGGGACCTGCCAAGTGATACGGTGACGTAGCTAAAGAAGATAAGACGAGAAGCAACAAATCCAACAGCACAGCATGCTACGAGTTAGACACATGAGTTGCTGATTATGTAGTGGTATATTAAATGCGCGCAATGCGGGGAGAAGACTGGTATAGTAACATGGAGAAGATACCTATATGTTGTAAATATGATGCTTGGAGCAATTGGGGGGGGAGTTTATTGTAGAAAAGTCTCGGCATCGGCAATGCGTCCCGGTTAGCAACCCGTATTAGATAGGTTAGGTAATGATATAGTGATATGGTAGGCTATATGGTAGGAGAGGTTTAGAAACTAACATAGGTAGGTAACTAACATCCTGCCAGGTCGATATGCGAATGCTACCCCGTCGATGTCGTGCTTTATGCTGACGACCCAAACAACTATTTAATTTCACCCACGAGGCAAACACGATACCGACGTAATACTACCTATTTCACAACCGCGTCTGTTCAACATAATATAATCGGTTTGAGCGACAAGGTCTAGAATCCCCGGGCCACAACATCTCGCGATTTGCCCTATGCGGCTCCCACAATGAAAACGGCAACGTGGGAAACCCTGTACAATACTAACATGGCACGCGGTACATATCGGCAGTGTGATTTAAATGCTACTAGCTATACCTTTTTAGTCGACTTATAAAACCTGTTCTTGGTAAGGCGTGTGAATCCAAAGTTCTCGGCGCATCCTACAAATTTAATATTACGAATAACGGACACGATTGCTGGATTCTTTTTCTTGGTATTAATTTATATGTTAAAGCACACTGGTATTGACTGCGCCTAATGGCTACCTGAGATGCCAAGAGGGGTTTGCATTTGCATACTAACATAATAGGCAGGCCGAATGCATATTTGCATCCCAACAGTATTCGCCAGCTCCTAAGATGAGTATTTAACCTAGAAATTAGTTAGAAGCTGGTTAGAAGCTGGTAGATACAGATTCCACTCTCCCACCCGCGACTAACAACGATGACTACTCCAAGCACGTTAAGCCCTACATAGGTATATAGTCTTTACGGACGGAAGTTAAGCAGTGTAAATACTTGTATTATATTCACCCACCAACGCACGTTACACCACCGCAGCAGATATCAATGCAAGGAGTACAGTTCCAGAAGCATGATCACCCGCGTTTCTAAGTGGCGCTGGTAGTAGTAGAACGGTCAAGTGGTGGTTACCAGACAAGTCCACCTACCAAATAAACTCGCGTGCTGCAACAGAAAAGCCACCGATACTATATTTGGCACAGCTCGACATATAAAGCTGCGGCACATTGACTAGAAAATGCAATCGGCCGGCTACGAGAATGCAATTGGCGCGGTGCTCCCGCGAATACAAGTCTCCGAGGCCGGGTTGCCGCCGCAACCGGCACAGCTTAGAAACAGGATAGCATTGTATAACTTCCGGGATCGAGCGCGGGGATTTTGCAGAGGTACATGACTTGTTTAAGTCGGTACCTACCTAGGTAGGTAAATAATATTTATCGTAGTTAGGTTCCTCATTATATATAACAGTACTCAAAACAAGACACGATGTTCAATTTCAGACGATTCCTAGATCTGGTATCCTGACTATATCCATTGACTCAGATATTTATAGTTATCGGGACAGAATGCTAAGTTTGTTTAGCACAGATCCATATTGTACGATTTCACAATCTGCACTTCTTGAAACTATCATCTCATGGCTGTGAGACATAATACAACAACGATGTCACCACTATTCAAGAAATCACATTTATGGCAGATTACGAGCTAGATGCTTAAATGCAAACGCTGTCGTATTTTAGGTAGTTATGACTGACTACCTCCCTCTAAGCAACAATACAGCTATTGCGCTGACTGCATATTCTAATGCTCGAACTAGTTTCTTAATAATGAGTTCAAACAGAGGGAAAGACTCATTGCATAAGTGTAACTACCTGATTTAGGTAAACCTATAAGGCATACTCGATGAACTTGAGTAAACTTATATCTTATTTCTATTTTATACCAGGGCACGTACCGTACACCTAGACTATTCACTATCACTTACAGCACAGAGTCTAGAATTTCGCAAACATTACAATTTTATTCTATATAACCGTACTATTTATATTATGCGAAAATACAGGCTCAGTCCTTGCCCGCCCCCACGTATTCATAGGGCGCTAACCAAGGAACCACGCCTCTCTAATATGCTAGGGATATCTCAAATGCCAAAAGGAAAACCAGCCAATTGTTTTAGGTGTCCGACCAAACCTAGCGCCCGCCCGGACACCGTTGAGTCTATGTAAGAGATAATAATTTTTAAGGGAGAGTGTTGTGTAAAGAGGAAAAGGACATCACGCGTTAACTGTATAGCCTCCTTTTCTCACCCCCTCTGGAAATGTAATAATTGTTAATGTGTTTTTTAATGGTCTTCGAAATCCTCGTCTCGCCCAGGGTACATAATGTCCTGAACAATTACCGCCCTCACATGACTATAGAGGACGAAGAGATACGTGGCCAACAAACAGATGGACATCGCCGTCGTCACCCATTTCACCGTCTCGTTCCCGAACTCGTTTGAGATTGAAATAGTCGCCAGGATGAAACCGGTGTTAGGGAAGACCATTGCCCACCATCCTAAGTGGAAATATTTAGGGGGCGAGCTTAGTACAGCGATCAATGCGATACCAAACCACCAGAGAGACAATGCCCATAGGAAGATGGCCCCAATCATAGCAAAAGTCCTAATCAAGTGTACGTCGATGAACCCGTCCATCTCCCTATCGAAGGTATCCGGAAGTCCATTCGCCATACCGATAAATGCAAGGGCAGTGAAAGCCGGGGGCCCTACATTCATGAATAGACCAGGTCGGTGCTCGCGGTTAGGAAGACCTATTCATTTGATTAGCTTTATTATATCATTTTTGGGTATATGTTTTTTTGTTTGTTTGTTAAACTTGAACTACTTACCGGCTGACATCAGACGTCCAATCATATGAGCGTACATCATAATCGCAACGAAGAGTCCCAGGCCTTGACAGCTCATACCAGCGATTAGAATGGGTATAGCTGAGATTTCGGGTTGAGTATCAGAGATGACCGAGGCGATAGTTCCCGACAACATGATAGGGAAAATCGGGAGGATCCATGTTGGCATCATCGTCTGTAGGCCGAAGTTGTGAGCGGCGAACACGAAGCTGTATTGTCCGATAGCCACAATTAGGGTAATAACGACATAGCCCCAGAATGCGAACTGAATAGCCCACACGAGCGGCGTATCGTTATCCGGGATGGCATATCGTTGCGTGCTGGTAATGATAGTGGCGACGGATAAGAAGTACGTCGGAAAGAAGAAGCCTTCGCGAGGATGCGATAGAGATTTGTAAAAGTCACCATGATGAAGGAAGAACCGCGATAGCATGCCAAAGGTCAACGTTGTGAACAGGATAAGATTGACGATATACACGAATAAACCGATCTGTCTAAGCCCAGGAAATTGATGCGTTTGGGCAAAGATAAGAAGTGATAATCCACCAGTGCTCATGGGTAGGGTAAACCACGCCCATGTGAAGTGATGCATTCGCTGGCGGAGTCCAAGCTTCGGTCGGTTTGGATCGTACATATCTACATGGTCGTGCCCGTGCTCGTGGGTGCCATGCTCCAAGTCGCCGGCGTGGTTCTCCTTGCTCTCGTATATCGAGTTGGCAGCAGAACTAGCCTGTGTTCCCGGATATTGTCCATATTGTCCACCGTGATTCTTCTCGTCTACGGGAAACTGCACCTCGGTCGGGTCTGAGGTGCGGAATGATAGCGGCGGTGGTGGTGTTGATGATGACGGATAGGAGATATTCTCCCGGGAAAGGAGTGTTCGCTCCATTGTGATGAAAACAAATCTTAACAAATAGTTCCGTGTCGAAGAGGCAACGGCTAAGAAGAAGAAAAGGAGAAAGGAGAGCTTTACAGATAAACAAGAACCAGATGAACCAGACCAGAAAGGAAGGGAAAGTTTCAAGGAAATTATAGGAGAATCAAAAAGAACATAAGTAGAGAATAGAGTACCGGCCTCGTCAGAAGAAATGAAATACAAAATATCACCCAAATGAAGAAGCGCGTGGTATGAACTCGAGTGACTGGGCAATTACGAAGCCTTTATGAGTAATGGGTACTACAGCCACCCTTGTTGGTGCGAGCCAAGAAAGCAGAAAACATCTGGAAGTAGGAAACAGCTAGGAAACAACTAATGATAGAAGAGGAAGGGCTTTCCCGGGATCCGAATGACACGGCAGGGTCGCGATAAGGTTGATCGTCGAATGAAGGTCGGCCGTCTACGACCGAGCTTCCATTGCGATCTTCAGCGCTGCCCGACGAGACATGTCTGTAGGATCCACAGACACTTTTAACCGTACATAGTGTACACCTCCGACGTATAGAGTTATACAAGTTTCTTGGTATACAAGCTCTTGGTATATGAGATCCAATCTAAGCCAACCAAAGAATCAAGTATCTGTTTCCGAAACTTTGCGCATCCTTGCAACCATTAGACGAAGGTGCTAGGAACTACTGACTTACACTACTTACACCACTTACACACTTACACACTTACACACTCACACAATGTTCGGTACACTACACTACACTAGACGTGTCGTGTCTAAACCCTTCCTCCACAAACTCCACCAAGCGCTATGGGAAACGACGATGACTTCAAAAATAGAAGCTGTGCCCTGTCATGCCCTGTCTAGCTCTACCACCTGCAACGAGTAAGGAGTGTAAAGGAGAAACAAATTTTTATCACGATATCTCGTTTGGTTATTAGTTAAGACAAGGCGGCGGCTTGGCGCAAGGGAGATCGCCCATGCCATGGAGCCTCACGGCGCCAAGCTAAGGTGCTATTGGGCCGTAACAACGTCATCCTTGTATATGTTTCTTACTGGACAACGTCAAACATGAAAATGATTGAGGCCGGTGGGCCTTCATCCAAGCAAATTAGATCTAGCGGTCCTACCCTAGTCCGCTTAGGCATGAGCCTCACACGGAAGATAGATATCGACGCTTGGCGGCGCTCTTGGCTTGTCGGCGCAGTGGGGGTACGTACAAAAAAGGGTACAGAAAGGGGGGCGGGGGGCTTGAAAGGGTAACAGGTTTTACATAGGTAGGTATGTACAGAAGCAGAGCCACCCGAAAAGACCCGTAGCAGCAGCCAAGACGACATCGCATAGAAGAAAAAATAGTAATAATACATAATAATAAACTGGCTCATCGGTTGAATTCGGCCAAATTTATCTGACAAGTGTCCGGGTCTATTACATAGGTAGGTAGGTAGTCTATCATATTCTGTTGTGTTCTATTTGGTCTGTCTACTCTCACCTCTTCTTCTGTGCGATGTGGCAAACGTTCTCCAGCTCGATCTAGAATCAGCCCAGCTGAGCCGTTGTGGCAGAGAAAGTGGCAGAGTGGAAAGAATGGAAGAGTGGCGGAAGAGTAGAGTAAAAAGTGCACAGATGATGATATACACACACACTGGACACTATGTGACACTAGCACAGCAGCACAGCATCAGGACGCGTAACCAATAAGCGGACCAGTAATCTAATGAGTTAAGCCAAGACCTGAGATCCTTTTTTCATTTTTTTCATTTTTTTCTTTTCCCTTCTTGTATGTATTGTATGTACCCTTCGATACACAGTAACGTTGTCGGGTCTTACATCTTACATAGTACACTATTGAAGAAGCGCCACGCTCGGCACTTGCCAGGCCCATGCCCATGCACATTGCAAATAAGCTCTTACATGGCCCAGCAGGGGTGACATGGGAGGAACGAGGAAAGGGAAAAGAAAAAAAAAATTTCCCAAATTAATAGGCATTAGCCATGTGGATCAGGCATGTCCGCCCAGAAATCAAAGCCGCCCGCCGTTGTCATCGCCAGGGGTGGACCCCTGCGATGCATATTTTTCCCACTCGAACAGGGGAGCTGTCACATGCGAAACAGACGATATGGATCTCGGAGGGCTTCTTGATACACGCACTAGATATTTTTATCTTTTTACGCTTCATGCTTTATCTACCTACGGCTACTGATCTACAATGGTATGTCTGATACTGGAATTGCACAGGACTGCATTGTATTACCTGCTGTGTGATGTGTGTCTGTACCCGTTGTGGGTTTGTACGTGTGTAAGTGTGTATGTATGTGTAATGAATGGTCTTGGAGCTCTGTGTTTCCCCAGCGCACATGTTTATCACGATACTGGAAAAGAAACCCGGGCCTTCTTTTCCTTTTGTCTGTGCTTGTGCTTGTGCTTGTTCTTGCGCTACGGGGTAACAAATGGTTAATTTGACATCTGCTCTGTGTAGGACGTCCAGTCGACGATGCTCCATACCTACCCTCGCGATCCTGCCCTTCTCGAAGCGGTAGGTGACGTGCTCGTACATAGAAGCTGACGGCGTTATGTACCGTTGGGCTTCACGCCAGCCAACGTGTCGGTGGGCTTGCCGGCTATCGCGATTCGTACCGCCACTCGCTGCTTTCGCTCGTCCACAGCCATAGTGGAGATGCTGAGGGCGAGATCAGGGATTGCTGTGAAGAATGCCTGTATCAGGTGCCGGTAGTCTTCTTCCGTCAGAGTTTTAGTGTTGAAGACCACCTGCGGGTGAATGAATTTGTGCAGGTTCGTCCCTATCCTTCGTGCTATGATACAATCCATGTACGCTCTATACGTGCTCTCTAGTTCCAGCGCGGATAAGTCCCCCGTCGAGAGGGCCTCTTGGCGGATTCTCTTCGGTGATAAGGTCTGGCGTGTACCTTGCATCGGAGTTGGAAAAGTCGACGCTGCATCTCGAGACGATCTGCCACTATCAAAGTCTTGGAAAGCTTCCCATCCGTAAACCAGCTGAACACTTGCTCCGGGAACGAGATGATTTTGTCGGGTATGGCGGCATCACCGGCAACGACACGTAGGCTTGAACCTCATGAGGACGGCCGCTGCCATGCACACTGTTGAGACCTGTCAACTGCCACAACATTGATGATAAGGTCGACATCGCCAGTCTTCCACTTTTCGGCGATATAATCCTCGACCGTGAAGTCTTGGCCGTCCTTGACGAAGTGTGAGTGCATGTATCTTGGCAGCTCCTCCCATCTTCGTTCGTTGATGCACCTCACGATGGATCTGTAGGCTATTTCGATATCGGCCATCCTCGTATCCAACCCCTTGATTTTGCTTTACCTCGTTCCCGTTGAAGCGTTTAGGTTATCTAAAATGTCATTTAAAAATGGAACCTTCTTACGTTCTTAGTTATTTACGAGTTGAAAATTGCTGTTTGCTGAGAGAATAAGCACCCCGGAGAGAAAATACGGATAGGATAGAATGTTGAAGAAGCATACACCACCGATCGATCAGCTGCGGCACCGGACCAGTGTGCCATTTGATCTCTTGGCCTCAAATCCTATCCAATTACAAGGCTGTATCCTGTATTCCGTACAGCGTGCTTTTTCTTTTCCAGGCACCGCTCAGCTATAAAACTGATGACGATACTATCTTCAGTCGCAAGACGGCTCAGAATCGACGAATCCGTGATACTTAGCAAGCTTAGGCTTTTGACAAGAGATTGAAGAGATTAACACTTGCTTAGCGTGACCCCTGCAACCAGGTCCGACGCGGCACCAAGACTACGGAGAGGTACCGATCTTAAAACTCGAAACGTACGTATTGATTACACCATACTGCTATAGGCAAGGGTTAGGAGGCAAGGATGGGTTGGGCTCGAATAAGCAAATCGTCGGGTAACTATAAATGGCTAATGGCTATACCAAACAGATCCTCAGCTATAAGATAGAGATAAGTAGGTACCTACTATGTAACCTGGGACGCCAAGAAACACTACTGCCGTTGAGAAACATCTCTTGGACAATCCGGTGCAAAAATAGATGGGCGGACATATCCGTGGACACGGCGGAACTCCCGGGCTTGGTCTTGCCCCCCCTTTTTTTTGTCCCATCTATGCTTGTGTACGGATCCGTAATGTCTCAACATTATGCGATTCGACTTTATAGAAGCCTCGTTTAATAATAGTGTAATTCGTCAGGCTGATGGTGACTTGTTTCTTGGCCGGCAGCTGTATATTGAATAGCTTCGCGCAGAGGCGGTAACAATATAATGCGAGCGAATTATGAGGCCTAATTGGGTTTCAAAAGGTGTGAATGGGCGGCAACTTGGTGTCGAGGTCTTGCAGGAAGTCTGGGGGTCACTTCGATGCATTCCTACCTACCTACCTACCTACCTTTACAGTCTGATAAGCATCTGCCATGTGGAAATGATTTCGTATGTGCATATTGTTCTCACTGCCGTGCCTGCATGGACGTGGATTTTGTCTTGGACATACTCTGCGGATGTACGGTAGCAACTTAGCCTCTGGATACGAGAGATCTACATGTCAATCTACTAATTCCAACGATAACTAAACAACAACTATATTGTGAACTAATTAAGAAGGGAGCTCGAATATATTCAGTTGGCATGAATACCATCTAGTTAATAGCATTAATATGAACAAGTTGATCCCTATGGGAGCCCTCCTCCCACTCTCCCCCACGGGAATACGTCTACGTATTTTTTATCCCTCAAATTTCCATCCAAGACTTCATCCAAGACATACAGGCCCACACGTAGATCGCAGATACGGGCGCTTCCTCGTTCGGTAATTGTAGTGTCGCATCTGGGCAACCTGCTCGCTTGACGAATACCACTGCGCCCCTGAGATTTTGTCTGCCATTGAAGCATCACTTCACTTTGAAACACGCTTATCCACCCGCGTATATACACTACTTACACGCCTATTACCAGATCTTCATGCCAATGTCTAGCCATCGTGGTGATATTTTGCAATAGACTCGCATATTCACACCATGGCTCGGCGGGGGAGTATTCTCGGCGTGGAAGATTAGCCACAGATGGACATGCGTATCTTGGCTGAGCAGATGACGCCGGCTTCATGCGTTCCATTCCCGTTTCGTCGGTAGTGTGGATGTCTGAGTTTGTCAACTTCATCTAGTCAGTCAGTCAGCCAGCCAGCCAGCCAGCCAGCCAGCCAGCCAGCCAGCCAGCCAGTCAGTCAGTCAGTCAGTCAGTCAGTCTATCTATCGTATGGTGATGCGCCATAAGCACAAGTTGTCGTACGTGTAAGATCCTATAAACGTTGTTGTTCTACATCCTTATAAAGTGAATCATCTCGTCGTACAGTATTGCTGACATAAAACACCAGACCGCTCCTATCCGAAAGCTGAATGACTACCCGGCGTGCACACGTGTACGACCCGAGCCCACCTATCGCAGGCCGGACGGCACGGCAAAGAGTACGTCGATGCCGAACAGCCGGCACCACAGAGTAACTGCTGTTAACTCTTGTTGATATGTGCACCCGAGGGGCTTCACGTTCATGAGCGAATTTCAAAATATAGAGGTTAGAGGTTGTTGTCTTAGAAATTTCAAAATCTAGCAATCTAACAACTTAGCTTTGCTTATGATCATCGGCTAAAAAGACTAGTGTGATGCGACGGGATGTCGTGCATGCAGTATATGCGGACGGCATTCCGCTTACGACCATGCGGAGGCTGGGCAAGGCTTGGGCTGCAACTTTTGTCGAATCGCCTCATCTGGAGGCTAATATCCGGCTGAGAGAGCACTACCTCTCTATCCTTGGCTTCGGATGGCAGTTCTAATGGTCTGTGGCTTCAAGTCGTATCGTGGCAAACTTTTTACACAACGCATTCATTTGAGTTGTACGAAGGCGTTAAGAATGATCCAGACCATCGAGACCATCGAGATGTGACTGACTATTGGAGTCGCCGAGCTGAGCTCTGCTGTGCCGGAGTTTCCGACGAAAGATGCTCATATGATGATCTCTCTGGCGATCTCTGCGAACAACCTCGCGAGGTAGACCGGTTGTGACATGCAATCTTGATCAGTTCACAAGAGCAGATTAGCCAGAGCAACCCTGATAATTGATACGAATGGCTATTGAGGAGGAATGAAATGGCAAATTACGGTATGTAAGTAGGTATTATCAAATTATTTACACAGAAGAGGGGTGTCAATGCCAAAATCTCCTTTCTCCTTTTGACTCCTAATCAGTTTCTGCCGGCCTCACGCTCTGCGGGTTATGGAACAAGTCGTTCGGATCCCATTTTGATTTAATTGACCCCAAAGCATTCAAGTTCGGGCCCCAATACGATGCCTGAGCATCTGTCAACGACGGGTCAACGTATCCGGGGTATGTTGTCAAAGTCTGCCCAGAACCGCTCTTGATCGTGGTCATGATGCCGTCCATGAAGTCCTTCGTATTCTGATTCAAGGTAGGAATACCGATTCCGTATCCTTGAGCAAACATAATCTTGTCTCGGTGTGAGTAAGCGGTCGCGTTCATGGGAATATCGCTGACCGCACCGCCACTGGCGTCGAAGATCAAGAACCAAAGAAGTGTGCCTCGTTTCGCGTCGTCGATGTAGTTCATAAGGCTAGAGATCGTATCCGGGGACAGTATCTCATCAGAACGGAAGGCTAAACTCTTAGCAGAAAACGCGACGCGGAGTTCCGACAGCCAAAGAGCAGCGTCCTCTGCCTGCTGAGCGATGACGGCTAGCCAGTCATCGACAACTACGGATACGTTTCCAACAGGAATCTTGTCGGGGATGCCCGTAGCTTTCCACTCCTCTTCGGTTCCGTAGAATGTGGCAGTGATGATAGCACCAAGCTCATGCATGACAAATTCGGTACCAAATCGTCGGTCCAAGTTGGGATCCGAGATAAGATCCTGCCATTGTTGAAATACAGATATCAAGTTGGAGTGCTTATCGAGGGTCAGTGAGAATGAGTACTGCACAACGTTACCAGGTTCAGGGTGCGTCTTGACGACGAACTCGGTGATGACGCCGAAACCTGCACCTGCTCCCTTTAATGCCTATTATTGATGTAAGCGAGTGACACCCAGGTTAGATTATGATATACTCACAAAGAAAAGATCGCTATTCTCCTTCTCGTTTGCTCGTTTAATAGAGCCATCTGCGGTGACTACTTCCACCTCGATAACGTGATCGAGACATGATCCCCACATGCGAGACGCGGGACCAAGTCCACCCTTGCGACAACACTATTAGCAAAGCTTCCTTATAAGCAGAAACGATAGGGACTTACAATGGTGGCATGGCCGCCTATACCAACTCCGGGACACGTTCCGTGAGCGATGGCCCGCTTGCCGTTGTCGTGAAGCTTATTGGTCACATCAGAGAGCCTAGTACCTCCACCGATGGAGGCCTGCCACGTGTTGGTATCCATAGAAAAGTCCTGAAAATTTACGAGATCGATGACGAGTTCGCCATCTTGTCCTCCAACACCTGTTTCTTGCGTATTAGCTCATTATCCACGGCGCGAGGTGTTTCCTAGTATTTGCGCATACCGAAATTTCTATGTGAGCGTTAGTAAAAGCCAATACGGCAAATATGCGATAGCTCGGGGAGCGCTTACGCATAAGAATGACCGCCGGACTTCGGCTGGACCTTGATGTTATTCGCAACGGCGCATTTGATAAAATCAGATACATCCTGAGCGTTATCCGGCCTCGTTACGGCGATCGGCTCTACCGGAATATCGAGATTATATCGGTTGACCCAAGACGCTTGATAAAGCAGATGGTCGGGAAATGCGACGCAGCTGTTGCGGCCATTGCAGACGGCGTTGAGACAGTCGGAAAGTGGAGTGCTTGGTGTTTGTCCCATTATATCCAAGACAGACATATGCAACCTAAAGTGTGGCTTATTAGGTAGGAAGGTATGTTAGGTAAAAAGAGTGAAGAGGTTTGGCGAGCCTAAAAGCTCGAGGCGTTTTGATCTTTCGAATATGTTCAGGTCTAAAAGAATGACGTTTGTCGAAAGGAGCTTTGAGAAAGCTTGACTCCCGTGTGAGTATCCCGTGCGAGTATCCCGTGTGAGTAAGAGAGAGGGCTGTGTTTGTCGACTTGGGAGAAGTCGCAAACGAGATTTCTTTTATTACTTAGGTACACTTCCTTGCCTATCAGGTTGTTTCCAGGTTTATTACCATGATTATTACCTACCTTGTGACCCCCAGATACTACTTGCCCAATAGGGACTCAAGGGAGCTTTGACAAGGATCGCGCCCCTCGGCCAAGTCCAGCGTGTTAATTACTCTGATCCAGTCACCGCTTTGTCTTGTTAGTTTTTTAGTGAGGCCTCGCCGAATCAATAGGATTGATTCTATGGTTGGCTATACGTCTTGGTCCCTAGTCTATGTATTCATCGCCAGTGGCGAGCCAATCCAGTCGTGAGATCGCCGGGATTGGATGAAGGACACCGGTTAAATCAAGCCATCGACTGATAAACAGCAAGGAACCCGCCTAACTTTCAGCTCGAGTGAATAATAATAAGTCACACGCGTAAGTTTGTCTGCGTAAGTCTGTCATGTGCGTAAGCCATGGAGAAGAATACCTACATGTAGGCTTTGTCTTTCGCAGTTCAATATTACCTATGTACTCCGAGATGTGAGTAAGATTACAATAGTTCTTTCTGCATTGTATTCTCTGCATTGTATTTTCTGCATTAAGCCCTAAAAGAGCTCGGTCTCGTCTCGGGAACCGGCGCCAATTTAGCCAATTACATCTACCGAAAGTCACCGATATATTCTGGGGATGGATCGTCCGTCTCTGATTCGCCAAGTTGAGAGATGACCTCACCTGGGGGTCTTTCAGGGATATTAGCAAATTAACAAGTACGGCAGTCAAATCTAACATCCCCTCTACGTACCTTGCGGAACTAACCCCTTTTATCCTTCCATGTAACTACCTCTCGTATTTGTTAATAAACATTGAGCGTAGGTAGATTTTTCGAGACCTAGAGATTGAAGAAATGTCCGATACATCTTCGGCACAGATGGGGACGGCACAGATGGGGAAATAGCAAATTTAACATTAGCAAGATGCTTCACGCAGAGCCGCATCTCGGGGTTCACGAAGTCTCGCATTTTGCTACTTTATAAAACAACGTAAACTTTAATCGTATGAGAAACAAACACGCATGTCTCACTAAACCTAGGTAGATCTGCATTGTTAATAACGAAGACCTAGGCATTGTTATCTAGATAATCAGTATCTCGGCACTCTTTACCTGCCGATAGTAAGCGATATGTGCATCATTGGGGTGCAGGTATTGTCATATCCACATATATGTCATACTGGAGAAAAGCTGTTGGTTTATGAGGAATTATGCGATTCTTATTATCTTACATAACATGTCCCTATTTAGCAACAACTGCATGCTGCACATGTACAGGAGCCTGTAACAATAACCCTCATAAATTCAGGCATACCGATGCACACGCATAAAATATGCAGTGTTACATGTAAACAAACTTATAAAGCCAAAAGTGAACCATTTATAAATCTAACTACATAGGTAGGTAGGTAGGTAGTTATATGTAAGTAGAAGATAGTTACCTCTAATGCTTGATTGTTTACCTTGTGTACCTACCTTCTAAAGTACAAGCCTGTCTATGCACTTTATATACGCACATCCTAGAGGATCCCGAATTTACTTTCTTCAACATTTCCATTTTCAATTCTTGGTACAGCCAGTCCCGGGAACGTATTGTCATTGCAGTCGGGCCAACCCGAACAATTATAGAGCCAGGTCTCGTCAAATAACAAATAATTGACAACTTAGCCCTATCGTTATTCGGGATCTTACTCAACAACTTGCACGTTGCATCCGTCGATTGCTTCCTGTTCTTCGCCAGTTGTGTATCGCCGTGTCTTTCCTCTGCTAAGCGGTGGTACTGGCAACGATTTCGGACGGACAGAAATTACAGGTACGCCCACGCCCTGTTAGTCAGCATACTCGGCATAGTTTAGCAGTAGCCAGCGTCCTTCCCCCGCATCTCTAGAAGGAATCTACCTAGGTTAGGTAGGTTATAATACCTAAATCTCCAATAATGCTCAGGCGAACCGGGCTCCGGAAGCCAATCCCCAAGTCTTCATCCCTGTCTTTAGCCCCTCCCCCACCTTACCGTACCCCTTATTCTCCTCGTCCTTCTACTACTCCACCTTCACTATGTCCACCTTCACTATGGTTCACGCTATCGTCCCCAGCGTCCCCAGCGTCCCCAGCGCTCCCAGTATCCCCGCACCGGGAATACCGGGTGGATGATCTCCCATACTGTTCCTACTTATCTCAACTTGCCGGGCCTATGCCCACTGAATTGCCCATCCCGACTTCATGGACCGAAACCGCACCTGTCGGTAGCCCATGCAATCGATACGGAGGGGAACTGTTCGGCAAAAACTTGGCTTTCGATGGAGTAACCAATGGGCTCGACCTTCGTGGCTTAAGTGTGCGTCAACGCCATGTTAATAGGTAAGACCTTCCACCGTAGCACAAGTTTGTGCAGTTAATGGTTTTGTTTCTGCGACGAATGCTTCAACATTTTTGGCAGCTGATGCCAGATTATACAGTACAAAAGCTCTCACGCAACGACTTTCTGGGCCTAGAGCAACAATAGCAACAATAGCAACCACCGCAACAACAGCAACAACCAAAAATACTCAACAACAGTCCGTCACTTTAGATATATTGAAACAGCAACAGTTCCGCGCATCTTCCACGTCTAAGCCCGCCATGTACACAGCATCGTTTGCCTTTTTCGAGGCGATATGGGAGGCAGGTGTCACGCACTGCTTCGTCAACTTAGGCTCGGATCATCCCAGTATCATCGAAGCTATGGTAAAGGGACAGAGGGAGGCTAAGGGTAAATTCCCACGTATCATTACATGCCCTAATGAGGTACGTTCGTAGATACCTTCGGTACCTGGCGGTACTAATTGGCAATGACATAATGCCCGGTTGGAACTGGCTTGCGTCTGTGCTGCCAATCGAAACAAATTAGAGCTAACCCTGCGCCAATAGATGGTAGCCATGTCGATGGCCGACGGCTACGCGCGTCTTACGGGTAAGCCACAGTGCGTCATTGTCCATGTCGATGTTGGTACGCAGGGCTTAGGAGCCGCAGTCCATAACGCCAGTACTGGACGAGCACCGGTTCTAGTCTTTGCGGGCTTAAGCCCTTTCACGCTTGAGGGAGAGATGCGCGGGTCGCGGTCCGAATATATCCATTGGATTCAGAATGTTCCTAATCAAACCCAGATCATCGGTCAGTACTGTAGATATGCAGAGGAAATCAAGACGGGCAAGAATATCAAGCAGATGGTTAATCGCGCCTTACAATTCGCCACAAGCTCTCCTCAGGGCCCGGTGCATCTGGTGGGCGCGCGAGAAGTCATGGAAGAGGAAATCAACCCTTACTCGCTAGAGCAGGGTGTTTGGGACTCAGTTGAGCTGGGTGGTTTGCCGCCGACAGCTCCTCAGCAAATTGCGGCAGCATTACTTGGTGCTGAAAACCCGTTGCTTATCACCGGATACTCGGGTCGAAATCATAAAATACCTGCTGCTCTAGTAGAGCTCGCCAACACCGTGAAGGGATTGCGTGTACTTGATACGGGCGGTAGTGATATGTGCTTCCCCGCATCCCACCCCGCTTGGCTTGGCCTTCGATTCGGTATCGACCCATGGATAGAGAAAGCGGACGCGATTGTGATATTGGATTGCGATGTCCCCTGGATTCCGACTTTAAACAAACCGAAGGATGGTACAAAGGTTTTCCACATTGACATTGACCCCTTGAAGCAGCTCATGCCGCTCTTTTATGTACCGGCTCAGCATCGGTATCGCGCGGAGCCTCTACTCGCAGTCGAGCAGATCATCTCTGAAGCCAAAAGCCAGGCTTCAAGTATCGATACAGCAGTTGCTACCAAGAAATGGGAGGCTCTTCAGGTGTCATACAAGGAACGCTTGGATACGATAGCATCCAATGCAAAGCCAGCCGAAGACGGTTCCTTCGGCACTGGATATCTCACCAAAACCCTACGATCCTTGTGCCCGCAGGATACGATCTGGGCTATCGAAGCGGTGACAAATACCGCCTTCGTGCATGATAATCTCCGGCCGGAGCTACCGGGTTCTTGGATCAACTGCGGTGGAGGCGGTTTGGGATGGTCTGGTGGCGGTGCATTGGGAATCAAGTTGGCAACGGACACGGAAAACGGTGGGAAGGGCAAATTTGTTGTACAAATTGTGGGCGACGGCACGTTCCTATTCTCCGTTCCCGGTAGTGTGTACTGGATCTCCAGGCGCTACAATATCCCGGTATTGACCATCGTATTAAATAACAAGGGTGAGTTCCCGGTCATGCCTACAAGACATCCAACCAAAGGAAAAGAACACGTAAGCAAAACTAATCATAATAAACAGGCTGGAACGCCCCTCGAAAGTCGATGCTCCTTGTACATCCGAATGGTCTAGGGTCAACAGCAACGAACGAGGAAATCAACATCTCGTTCGATCCCGTGCCAGATTACGCGGGTATTGCCAAGGCGGCTGCTGGAGGCGACTTGTTCGCGGCAAGGGTTGACAAGGTAGACGATCTCGAACGTACTATCAAAGATGCTATCAAAGCGGTCGAAAGCGGTCAGAGTGCTGTCTTGGACTGCAAGGTCAATCTTGGATCTTGATTTTAGACCTACTGGAAAAGGAGCTGCTGCTTCTGCATTGAAAGCTGAGATTAACATCGCGCTCTGTCACGTGGAATACTAAGGACGTAGGTATATACTACAGACGTGCTGATTGAGCGGGTAGGGAAATCGTGTACTGTTAGGAGTCATAGCAGAAATTGATCCATATAAATTGGTGTTTTACCGATATCTCGTTGTTAGAGCATGTCATCCTGGACGATACACACCATCGTGGTATGATTTATCAGTGGTCCGACTATGTGAACTCGTCATAGGAAGAAACATGTATATGAGTGGATATGTATATGCTATGTACGTTATGATAGTGTGCAAAGCGACTGAGTCTTTATACCCAAGGTACTTTATAGTCTATTTAGGACTCTAGGTGCCCAAGGACTACGTAGACAGCAACTTATCGGGTTTCCGGATTTATTCTTGTTTATATCACGGGTTCTATATAGGTACCTATTCACTTTATAGGTAGCCATCGGTTATTAGCTTAAGTATCTAAAGTACCTAATGCATAGTATGTAGTTGAAGTTTCCTCGTCGTATGTCGAGTATGCAGGCGTTCTAGGTACTTCTCGTATCGAATGAGGTCGCGTGCTCTTGAGGCGCAGGTATTTAGGTAGGCTCGGGCTACGCCTGCGTTAGGTTAGGTACTCTTCCCCACGGGGAAAGGGACGTGCTTAGGTTAGATTGTTGGTAAGCGAGTTGAACTTGGTGTAGGTACCTATTTTCGGTTGGAGAGAGTCACCTGGGCTTGTAGGTATGCGTGCTGCATATGTGTATATGCAAGTCGTATGCCATGCCCGTATGTCCTTGAAGGATCACTGCGTCGATCCTTATCCATGCAAGAAGGGTCCTGCCGCAGGGAGCCGTGTTCTAGCTGATGTTGTGGTGACGTGCAAACGAGGGAGTTGGTATGGGTATTTTACCTGAGATATCACGATTCGGCTTTATATAGGAGGTAGTCAGTACCTAGGTAAAGAGGATGTGAGTTGGTGAGAAGGATTATGCCTATTAGTTTCTCTATGAAGTACGACGATGGTTAAGTCGCCGTAGCCACGCCGCGCTGACGATTGATGATCTACGTCTTGGTCTGGTCTTTGATAGGTTAGGTCCTGCAGAATGCCATAGGCTGCCGTGGGGTTTGCGCTGGAGGAATCGTTGATCACCGGTCCGTCTGGGGTAATGCCAAGCGTAGCCTAGGCGAAGACCGCGGAAGTGTGCTTTGTGGTTTGCATTCGTAGGATAGGGGAAGGGGTTATATTGGCTGGTTTGTTCATGTAATAACATCTGGGGATGTATGTGTGTGTGGTCGTGGGGAATGCATCACTTACACCAACATTTTTGGTAATTAGGTACGGGATTTATATTATCTCTCTTCCCCCTTGCATGCTATTTTCAGAAATGAAATTGGCAATGTTGACACGATGATATTTGATATTTGATATGTATTATTCGTTTAGACTTGTACTACTAATACTTGTTACATGGAGATATTAAATTCGGAGACTGCCGGTTCTCTTATTGCAATACCTACCTACCTACCTAGTGTAACATATTGAGATGTACCTAATATATTGTTTCGATATACATGGCTCTTGGCGATACAAGCGATCGAAACTGCATCGACTGATCGTCGAAGTGGGTATCTTTAAACGCCTCATCAAGTTCTGGACCTTAAATATGCATCTCACAAAAATCTCTTAGTATCAGCTGGTCTGCTGCCCGGTAAGTATATTTCTCGTGAAGTTATCATTTTCTATCATGTCATTTTGATACTACTATGTACATATGTAGACTTCAAAAAACGCGGCGGTGCATGTTAAATGTTACCCTGCCACGCAGCCACGCAAGGCCTACCGCTGTCCCTGTCTAGATGTTTCCCAAAAGTTGTAGATCTCCCCTAGTCTTACTTTACTTCTTACCCTCTCTTCTCTTTTGCATTGCACTGTTTGGAGGCAACAAGCGTACATCTCGTACATGTATCCATGTTTTTATTAGAACAAGAGCAAGTTATATAAAACACAGCCTATTGTTTTAGTGTTTTATAGAGCCGTCGATTGACTTGGAATACGTTATTCGTACCCTTTTGGACGCGAATACTTCCCAATCTCGGGCCATTAGCTCTTTTAATAACTTATTGGAAGCCTCTTAGGTTAATATCTTGAAGATGCTGTACCTGCTTTTAGTACAGACGTTGCTGGATATTCACATGTAAATTCTCTTGCAACACAAGATAAGAGGCACACACCAGCTTGAACGTACCGCCATTAATACCTCGACACGGAGCCTTGTCTTACTGGAGATATGATTCGGCATTGTCTTTTCAATTGGTGATTGGTAATTGGTAATTTGTGAATTATCTTTGTCATATCACCTTTGTTCGACCCGACCATCACCCATCTTTTCAAACTCTGTCAGCTTTAGGAGGGTGAGCATCTGTTATCGTATTATCGTATCGTGGATTCAATTTCAATAACTCAGTGGGTTGGCGGGGTCCTGCGGTCTTCCAATTCGGGACTATTGAATAGGGTCACGGGTCACGGGTCTTTTGAACCTGCAGAAAAACCCCTGTATACCTAAAGCATGTAAGCTGCAAGTGCTTTTAGACCCTTGAGGTACGATTGGATAGAGAGCCTCTTCTACATACATATATGGACCCAGCTGGTAAGAAATCGAGATATCAATAATTGAATGGGCCAACTTGGGTAATAAATGCAAATTCTATCCTACGTCCACCGTTTAGGTAGTTTTGGATATTTGATGCATAAGTATATGTACAACATACAACATATTCAGGCCCGAAATGAACCCCATTTTGCCCGAGGCTAGAATCTCCTAGCGTGGGAGGGGTTGGGTACAGGTACACAATACCTATGACTACCTCTCTACATACCTGTATTCCCAGATACATTAGGTACCTCTTTACAGGGGTAAAAGGCCTGGGTTACGACAAAGCGGGAAAGAGGAAAGAGGAAAACCTTAAATCGGACTGCTAACCTGCTAACTTCTCCGAGGCCCATTGTTTTTAATCTAGTCCCTCATTTTTATTATAATGGAAATCTGGTCCCTCATCTTAAATGTTTGATTTCTCCATCTAGCCTTGGCCTCGACTGCCACCTATTCCTGTTTGGTTTCGTTTCTAGTTCGTCCATCACGAGGCTCGATATTGTACTCGGATAGACCTCGGCCAAATCCGCCTTTCATAGGTTTTCGTCTTGAAGAGTGGCCATGCTACTACCACAGACGATCTCTTAGCTACTACACTTATCATCAATATGGTTCCGCAGTACTTATCCAAACAGATCTGTTAGATCTGTTAAGTTCTTGTGGCTGGCAAATCAAGTTAGGTAACATAGCTCCTAGCTGCTTGATAAGTCAACTGAAAGACCAGAGCGTACAATATATCCTTTGGTGTATTAGTAGCTGATGTTAAGCTGCTTACCTCGTTATTCTTACGAGAGATCATGAGTCAAGCCACGCGCCGGAGATCAAAATATCACGAGCTCTCTTCAGCTCGATAGCACCCGGTACTATCCACCAGCAAACTCCATCGAATCCTGAACGACAACAGGGTTTGCCGGATCACTTTCTTCAACAGCCATAGATTCGAGTTCATCTTGTACCGCTCGAGGTTGATCTGTCATACTACTACCTAGTAGTAATAGTTTTAGGTGTCAACTGTTTAGTTCGAGGGAAGAAAGGGAGTAGGGTTTAAATGGCAAGCGACAATGGCCAGTCAGACGCCCCAGCGTCTCAAATAGATGAGGACAAGGGAAGTGATAGCGCGACACCGACTTCGCCTCCTCCACCTCCCATTCCTTCAGCAGACCCGAAATTGGTATTGCAAGCTCGAACACCGCCTCCGCTCCATACCGCGCCGAGTCCCTCCTCTCACGACCTCTTCAAACTATCCCCTATTGCGGCTCTTAAGCTGCTCGGCGCTAGTGTCGAAGCGCTTGTCCGCATTACAGGCGATATACCTCCGACACCCCCTCCCACGAGCCCAACCATTCCTGGTATGCGTAGTATGCAACGGGAGAAGGCGGAAATAGTCAGGAATCTGTCAGAAAAGAGCCTGGTTCGACTGCGGGAACAGGCCGAATCCCAAGCTCGGGCTCAAGCTCAGATTCAGAACCCCGGGATGGCGACACGCAACCAATCCATCGATGGCGTCCACCTTAAGAAGACATCAACCCCAGGGCTGTCAAAGAGCACCCCGGAGCCGTATATAATCATCGGCGCCAACTCACAACCGCTCAATCTTCAACACAGCGCTATTACGCGGAAATTCTTTAGCAAACAGCCCCCGCCGATTAGTATTGAGGATTATCTATTGCGGATACACCGATTTTGTCCCATGTCAACTGCCGTGTATCTCGCGACGTCGTTTTATATTTTCCGGCTCGCTGTTGAGGAACGGGCCATCGTTGTCACCCGGAGGAATTGCCACCGTCTACTTCTAGCGGGTCTGAGAGTAGCAATGAAAGCTCTTGAGGACTTAAGCTACCCGCACGCTAAGGTCGCTCGGGTTGGTGGAGTGAGTGAGATCGAATTAGCGAGGCTGGAAATTAGTTTCTGCTTTTTAACCAGTTTCGAATTGGTGATAGGAGAAGATACCTTGAAGAGTCATTGGGAGACGTTGAAGCAAGGTCGTGGCCTTGTTGGCTTCGAACTGGCACAGTCAGAAGATGATGCGATACCGACTTTAAAACTGGATGCGCCACCGAGAAAAGGGTGAAATCTGGATTTAAGCGGTTACTTCTAAGCAACCTTGCGATGTCGCGCTATCATTATATTCGGGGTGCAGTCTGGAAGAGAACGAAAAAAAAATCCCCGTCCACCGGACCAACCCAACACTTATTTTACCCCGGGTGTCGACTACTGCGCCTCCCTACTTTCGATCACTGGGACATTCTTTTTCGACTTGTATGTTCCTCGCCAATTTTCTCGCCACGATGCAGGGGAATAGGTCGTGTATGTGGCGTCACACATCAGGGGCCAGGCAACGTCCCCCCGTAGGGTTCGAATTGAGATGCTCCCCAAGCGACATTTATATATGCGGCTGTCTCGAGGCCATTCAATGTGACTAACCAACGGGTGAAAGTCGAACTTGTTTTTTTGACTTATCAGGGTACCTAAGGGAGGGGCGACGAAGGGGCGTTGCTGCGCGACGCGTACTTTAGGCAACCAACTTACGCGGGATTGTCGAATGTGTGGCCTGCTAAGCAGCGGAGACGGTTTTCGGTCGCGTATTGCTGAAGAGCGAAGATCTGGGGTCTTAGTGAGGTTATTTTCTACATGCGCATGGGATATATAGGGATTGCATTATTATTGGCGGCAAGTATTTTTCGAAGGGCATCATCGAGGAAGGGAGGCATACGTGGAGAACTCGTTCATATATGATACCCGAATCTTGTTACTCGTACATAGTATATTAAGCATCTTGCTCTATCAGTTAAGAGATTGTTTTTTCAAGAAGAATTTCAGGATTGCATTGACTGTCAACCTGCCGAGGCATATGTTACGAAAAATAAGGGTAGTAGTCATTTTCAGTTGATATCAAGGACGAGTTTATGATACCCTTGCTTTTTATCTAAGGCCATATTAAGCCATCGACTAATGGTTTGAAATATAAATAAAACGAAGTATCTCTTGTCTAAAAGATGTCATAGTGCATAAGCTTTTAATGAATCCAGCAAACTTCTTGCTCAAAGAATTAATTTATATGGAATGCGTGCTTCCAAGTAGATCGCTTTGCAGACAATTACGACCGAAGGGATAGCTATTCGAAGAACTTCCCTCGGACTCGCCCTGGCGACGTCTTTACAAAACAGGGGGGTAATGAAGGCGGGAAGACTAGGTAGTTCGGGCCCGGCCGTGACGGACCGGAAGGATTGATAGTTTGACCCGTCTAGTATTCCGATGATAGCCGCGCCGGACAGTATAGGTACCTGCCTTAGCCAAGATAAGGTGCTTTTGCGATACTAGAGTTGAAGTATTCAAGTACGGCGCACTGTGCTACTTGCACCTGCCTAAGCCGAATGTACAATATGTCAATATGTGCGATACGAGAATATTGAGACAGATACCAGTTTCCCTTGGAATTCTTAGAAGTAGCATAAGAGCACGTGTGGTACCGAAGCTCTATACCTCTACGGATATTCAAACTACCCCGCATTCGCGTTCATATTGCGAAATCATCCCACTTAGAACACCTAAACCACCTAAACCACCAAAACCACCTAAAGCTTCTTTAGCTTTCGCAACTAGACACATAACAACGACAACGCCAGCGCCAGCGCCAGCGAGGTCCACAATGTCTAAGGCGAATATCGATGTCGAGAAAATCCTTCAGGGGAAGTACCCGGCCAAGGCGCATGCGAAGCGCGTGGTCGAGTATATTAGATCTAAAATCCCCGATGCTACCGGTATTCTGTACCTGGAGGGACGATCAGACAAGCTATTGGAAGACAGCGACGAGTCAATTCCTTTCCGGTAAACCTATTCGAATTTTACTTTTCGAAGGGCGACGCTAACCGCGAAAGTTGTGCAGACAACGGAGGGCTTTCATGTACCTGACTGGTGTCGACGTTGCCGACTGCTTCTTTATCTACGATATCGCGACCGAGCACTCGACCCTCTTTATCCCTCCTATAGACCCGGACTCCGTTATCTGGTCTGGCTTGCCATTGTCTCCCGAGGAAGCTCTGTCGACGTACGACGTCGACGCTGTTCTTCCCTCTACCGAGCTCAACCCTACACTGGCTAGGCTAGGAAGCCCCCCCAATACCACAGTCTTTGCCATCGCCGATCGCGTCTCGGATGCCGTGACCTTCCTAGAGTTTACCAACAAAGATTTCACCGTCCTAGGCGAAGCCATTGACGAGAGCCGTGTCATCAAGGACGAGTACGAGATCGCTCTCATCAAGAAAGCCAATGAGATTAGCGGAGTCGCCCACAAGGCCGTCCTCGAAAGGGTGAAAAAGGCCAAGAACGAATATGAATTGGAGGGAGTATTCGTGGGCACGAGTATTTCTCAGGGGGCCAAGAAGCAAGCGTACCCCAGCATCGTTGCCAGTGGACGAGCCGCTGCTACTCTACATTATGTTCACAATAACAAAGATCTAATTGGAAAGGATCTGCTACTTTTGGATGCTGGTGCCGAGTGGAGTTGCTATGCTTCTGATATCGTGAGTGGCCAAATGCAGCATCTTTTTATTGCGTTATTAGATATTGATGAAAAGAAGAATACGTTAGACTAATGATATTTCAGACGAGAACCTTCCCCATTTCCGGAAAATTCACCGAAGAGTCTCGAGCTATTTACGAGATTGTTCTCCAGATGCAAACAGACACTATTGCCGCCCTGAAAGAAGGAGTGTCCTGGGATGAGGTTCACTTGTTAGCGCATCGGATCGCCATCGATGGCTTACTCTCTCTAGGAGTTTTAAAAGGAGACAGGAAGGAGATTCTCGATGCTCGGACGAGCACGGCATTCCTCCCTCACGGCTTAGGCCACTATCTCGGATTAGATACTCACGACACTGGTGGTCACCCCAACTATTCGGATCCCGACCCGATATTTAGATACTTACGAGTCCGGGCGAACCTCCCTGCTGGAAGCGTGATTACTGTCGAACCCGGTGTAAGTGAAATGAATACCTTTGCAAACTTACACCAGACTGACTTGGTAGATCTACTTCTGCGAGTTTATCGTCAGGCCTTACTTGAAGGACCCTAAACATGCCAAATTCATCGACGAGAAGGTATTGGATAAGTACTGGGATGTTGGTGGTGTGAGGTAAGTGAAAACGAGCTGTGGTTACTTTCTTTGTATGGGAGAAGAACTAACACGAATGAAATAGGATTGAGGATAACTTGCTCATCACGAAGGATGGTTCAATCAATCTAACTGATGCAATCAAGGACCCTGATGAGATAGAGAAGATCATTTCTAGCAGCTAAGTAAGGAATATATGATTTGTATGAGAAGGGACAAGTAGTTGACGAGTTGTGGTGTTGCCACTACTTCACAAGCTCTTCCCTACATTAATGAACAAAGATACAAATAGAAATATGATACCAATACGTCTGATTCTTTGGCATGATCTCTGGCTGATTAATTGCTACTCTTATAACATATTCCCACTCTAAAGGTTATTCATCTGTCTCTTATGTTGCACTATATATGAAATGACTATCATAGAAACAGGTAGCAACTGAAGTCTCCCCTCACATCATATTCCTAGTCAATGACTACAGCAATTTCCATCATACTAACATCCATCAACTCGAAAATATTTTCCTATTACCATTGACTCTATCCACTGTGCCTAATTCCTAATAGGAGAGCATAGTAGTATCACCAAATAGTCTTGCCAAAACACTTGCCATTCGCCAATGCACCAACCGGGCTATTTCCGTCATCTGCACCGCATCGCACGCCATCCGCCGACAGCACGGAGTGGTCCCAGTGGTTCGGGATCCCGCCGAAAAACTTGCATGTGGCTTGCAGATGCCCCCCTCCCCCTGCGCTATCGCCATAACGCAATTCTTCCCCCCCACGGCGTGACGCGCGCGAGCATGGATTCGGAGATGTATGCCCGGGATTCCATGCCGGACGGGAGGCGAAAACGGAGTGGAGGGTGGTGTAGGTGGGTAAGAGGAGAAGGCTGGACTGACTGACTGACTGGCTGGCTGGCTGCTTGATTGAATAAATAAAACTGCCGCGACCTTCCTTCTTCAGCTGTTTGGTGTAGTAATACATACATACATACATACCTACCTAACCTGCGTCTTTTACTTACTATTCGTATTCCGGTTGCTGGCTAGTACTAAGCCCCCAATCCCAGCCTAGGAAAGGGAAGGAAGCGAAAGAGGAAAACATGTCGCAGCTGCAGCTGGGCGTGCACGGCATCACGCTGGTGCCGCAGGGCACGGGGTACGGGCTGCTGATCGGGCTCGGGGTGGCCTTCTGCGCCGTGATCCTCGTGGCTATTAAGATCCAGCGCGCGTACCTGTCCGAGGACTCGGGGACCTCGGAGATGTTCATGGTGGCGAACCGGTCCGTGGGGATCGGGCTCACGGCGTCGGCGGTGTTTTCGTCGTGGATGTGGATCAACGAGACGGTGTTTGCGGCGGCTATGTGCTATCGGTTTGGGCTGGCGGTGCCGTTGGTGAGGACTTCTTTTTACTTGCTTGCTTATTTTCTTTTTCTGATGGGGGTTGAGTACCGGGTTTGGCTGTGGTATGGCTTGTAGTATATGTCTTAGGTACCTATATAGGCGGGAAGGAGTGGAATGGACAAGAGTATAAGCTAATATGGGTGATCACAGTGGTGGGCGACAGGTCTCTGCTTCCAGATCGCGCTGATGGCGGCGCTTGGAGTACTGGCTAAGATACGAGTGCCCTACGCGCATACGTCGCTCGAGATTATCAAGATGCGATATGGCAGGGTAGGGCATGTGGTGTTCATCGTGTTGAACCTGACTAACAACGTGTTTGGGTGTGCGTCTATGATTCTCACGGGCTCGCAGCTTATTTACGGTATTTCGGGCATGCATTTCGTTGCGGCTACTGTTCTCATTCCCCTCGGTGGTAAGTCATGCTCTTATTATACTTCTTAAAGAGACTAACTTACTGTTTGGCAGTGGTGCTGTATACCGCCGTGGGCGGCCTTAAAGCTACCTTCCTTACGGATTATATCCATACTACCGTCGCCCTGGTTCTCATCATGTACTTCACGTTAAGCATCCTGACTCATGAAGCCATAGGCGGGCTCGGGGGTCTTTACGACAAGGTGATGGCGACGGCAGCCGAGAACTACATCCCCGGTAACTTTGAGGGGTCACTTCTCACGATGAAATCTAAGGATGCTATCATTTGGGGCCTGATCCTCAAGTTTGGCAACTTGGCTCTTGTGGTCATGGACACGGCTTTCTGGCAGAAGTCTTTTGCCAGCGAGGTTTCTGCCACTGTACCGGGCTATAACCTTGCGGCCGTCGCTATCTTCGGAATTCCTTGGGGGCTGGGCACTGTTATCGGTCTGGCTGCGCGAGCTATTCACAATACCCCTATCTTCCCGTCTTATCCAGGCCAGTTCACGAGCGCCGAAGTCAATGCTGGACTTGTCATGCCGTACACAGTCAAGGCGTTAATCGGCGACCAGGGTATAGTCGCTTTCTTCGTGCTGTTGTTTATGGCGTTAACATCAACCGTCAGTTCGTCCATGATTGCTGTGAGTTCTATCCTGTCGTTCGACGTCTACAAGAACTATATAAATCCCAAGGCAAGCGACAAGCGGCTCCTGAGAGTGAGCCATCTGGCCGTGGTAGCCCATGCCATCTTCATCACGGGCGTCTCGCTGGCTCTTAACTACGGAGGTGCGGATATGACTTGGATCGGTTACTTCCGTCCTATCCTCTCATGTCCGGGCATCATCCCCTTAGCCTTGACGTTGTGCTGGTCCGGGCAGACGCGTCTCGCTGCCATCATATCTCCGATCCTAGGTTTCTTCACTGGTCTCGCTATATGGCTAGGTACAGCGCAGGCCCTGTATGGTACTATCAACTTAGAGACGACCGAAGCTGGACTGCCGGCATTATACGGAGCATGCGGATCGTTTTTCTCGCCGGCAATCTACTCTGTCCTGATCTCCAAGTATAAACCCTATAAGTTCGATTGGCGCGAGTTCCTGCGCATCGAACTTGCTGACGAATTCCGGATCGATCCCGATAGCGCATCGTCTGTAGAGCAATCGGAAGAGTCGTCGATCAGCGATGAGAAGAAAGATCCCGGTCAGAAAGATGGTGAAAAGCACCTCGCGCCTCCTGAACGTGTATACCTGTCCCGCGAAGCCCAGGCATCGTCTTCGGAAGAAGTGACTAAAGTGGCATCGCACAAACTAGAGAATGCTTCTGGCGATACAGAGAAGAAGAACCCGCCCAAAGCTACGATTTCGCCGCGAAATAACCCCACCGCAATCCCCCTCGACCAGATTCAACACCCGTTCAGCGAGGAAACACTGCGGGAGCTGCGGAGATGGTATCGTATCGCATGGGCCTTCTTCGTCTTCATCGTGCTAGTAACGTTCGTGGCGTGGCCCATGCCGCTGTACCGCGACTACGTCTTCACGAAGCCGTTCTTCAGCGGGTGGACTACCGTCGCTATTGCTTGGCAGTTCTTCTCGTTCCTTGCCGTTGCAGTGTATCCGCTGTACGATGGACGTCGCGAGATTGCTAAGGGTGCTAGGGGCGTGTGGAATACTACGAGGGGATATTTTGGGAAATCGGCCTCGGCATGATGTGGGATAATGAAGGGTTATCTGTAAGCGTGGGTTGGGGCTAGAGGGCAGGGGGGGATAATATTTTGGGCGGCCTTTTGATTTAGATAGATTAGTTAGGTAGATTATAAGTATAGATTCTGTGGTAAGGGTTAAATTTGTCGGCTTAGACCTGGTTACCGCGGATCACTTGGGAGGGAGCTATACAGTATTTGAACATTGAATAAAGCTGGACACTTCCTATGGCTTTCTACTTCCTATGGCTTTCTACTCCCTACGTTGGCTTAACATAATGTAAACATGACGTAAAATACGGTTATGAATTATAGACATTACTTTATTCGAGACATCAAGGTCATTATGATGGTATATAGGTACGCTTGAGATCCCACAAAATCTTGTAGCAACAGCATCTATTTACCTCCCACGGCGTCCAGGACGTGCCCTCAAGCTCTTCTTCATAAGCACAGACTGCTGCTCCTCCCAAACCCCGCCCGGCTTGTTCGTGTTGACATCGTACGTAGTATTTGCCGGCAGCACTTCCCATTGCATCGTGGAATTTCCCTGGCGGTATGTGCTCTTTTTCGTCCCCTGCGTGAGATACTTCAAGTCCACGATTTGTTTTCCGGTCTGGATGTCCTGGCCTTTGATGGCTCGCTCGAAGAACTCTAGGGAGGCTAAGGGCTGGTAGAAGGGGACCTCGTGGCCGCTCTCGTAGATTCGCGTGAAGCTGAACTTGCCGGATTGCTTTACCTGGCCGTGCGTTATGTTGTCGCTCGTGATTATGTCCGTATAGCCGGCTTTCGAGAACCCCGGCGCTGCAACTTCTTCTACCACAGCCTCGCTTCCGAGCCAGTTGCAGTTGTAGTCCGCGTCGCCCGCGTAGATTGCCACGGTTATGTTTTTGGAGATTAGGTAGCGGATATCTTCGATCGTACCCATCTCCCGGCCGTCGTCTCCGGTGCCGTCAAACGCCTGACCTACGGCGTCGCTGGATGCTGAGAAGTTGGTAAACGCGCCAATTGCGGCCTGCAGCTCCGCCGAGTTTAGGTAGTCGCTGTAGAATCCGTATGGGAACGGATCTGGCACGAGCTCCCGCACGTCGTACTCGTCTCGGCCGAGCACGTTGTCGTACACGGATTCGACCATGTTGGCGCAGAAGCTGTCTGCGCTGCTGCAGATATGGTTCAACCCAGTAGCTTTGCAGTCATTTAGCCGGTCGAGGCAGTTCCCGGGCCCGTACAAATTGTTATAGAACATGGATTCTATAGACGCGTTGAAGGGCGCATAGTCATAAGTGTTTCCGGGATAGACGGTGAAATTGTAATAGGCTTGATACTGAAGTATCGGATCGTACCACCCATTGCCGATCAGGACCGACTCCAGCTGGATCTCCTTCGTACCCGGAATCTTCTTGGCGTTCTGCTTTTCGATATAGGCATTGAAGACAGGTCCGTAGTGACCGCCATAGCTTTCTGTCGCGAAGTGAAAGCCGTTTCGCGAGTACTTGGGGAATGCGCCCATGAAACCCTGGAGGGTCTTCCAGAAATTAGGAGCAGCATTAGTAGTCGAGTTTGCAGTTAGCGTGAGATTCGGATAGGAATAGGTTCCGCACGAGCCAGCAGGCGCATAGTCTGGGCATGTAGCGTCTGGCACGGTTATAATGTTGCCGCCGGAGTACCAAGCGTTAACGGGCTTAGAATAAGAAAAGCCAACTTGAGTGGGTTGGTCGATGAAGAGCAGATTGCTCACGTTAGACCACGAGTAAGGGTTGTTGTAGACATTTCCGAAGTAATCGACACGGCAAGGGCCCAACTCCTCAAAGAGGCCGATCATAGAGCTCGAGCCCGGTCCGCCATTGATCCAAACGGTCAGCGGGGCCTCTGATGGATCCTGGTTGCGGGATTCGAAAAACCACCAGAAGATGTGTTCATCCTCTCCCACGTCGGCATATCCCGAGTAGCTCTTCACGTTAGGATCTAGCTCGCACGTCCCCGCGGGCACCTCTTTGTACCGAACTGGAACCTTAGCATAGCCGACGACTTCTTTGAGAGAAGTTGGCGGTGCAACGAACTGAGCCAATCCTTGAGATGCTGCAGCTACGAGCAACAACGGCCGCACGAAGGAAGACATGGCGAAGGCAATTGTCATGACGCGCGTAGGGAGCGGGAAGACAAGAAGGGAAGAGTTGACGGACGCCAAGTCACGATTTATAAGGAATGTTCGGTAGTAGCCATGATGATCGCCAGGGGGTACCTGGCTAGCTATGCTGCTACGTAGGCCGGCATGGGCACAGGCAATGTGCATGGATGAGTCTTACCGGTCTTGGATTTTCCTTTGTTGTCAATGGCTGTTCTAGGTAACGAGCCGTGGTATTGGGCTGACGCCATTGGTGGCACACTACACTACATCGTATCGCTATATTGCGCCGGGGCCTGCATGCTGTATGTACGTCGTCTAGCTTGAATAGGCATGCCATTTGTTTATCTGCTATCGTATCGTGCGGGGGTTCCTTAAACGAGGTTGTACTGGCTTAGATGTGGTTAGATGTGGATGGAGGTCGGCGGGACTACCCACGCGATAACGAGCGCAAAAAGCAAGGAACAGCTGTGGAGTATATTATCGAGATCATGCGTTGAGAGTCTTCCGGTAATGAGTTATACCTACCTAGGTTGGGCAATTCTTATGCTTATTTGATCTTACATGTCCTCCATGCATCATCTGCTTTCAGACATGTCTTAATAAGAGGTAGATTTATCTCCGACGGCACTCTACTATATCCGTGGCATACGGAAGTCTGTCACTCTTCGGCTTAAACCACGTATTGAGCTTAAAGACATATCGAGATATATAGGTATAATCACAATAAGACAGTCTGAAGGGAAGAACCGCAGGATTCGAGATCATAATTAGAAAATACTCGGAATAAAAAACGACATATTATCAGTCTAATGTATAAATTCAATCAATTCATGCATAAGTCCCAGACCCTCATCATCTATCAACATAATCCAGGAGGAAGCATCGTTCATCAAAAATTCGTCCAGATCCTCATTGTCCTTTTTCACTCGCGTGGACTTCTCTGATAAGAGTCTTCCGCCGACATCACTCTTATAAGTAGTGGTACCTAACGAAGGTGTAAACACATGGCGGAGGAGGGGCTGTGATATCACCCTCGTAGATGGTTTCACAGGATAGATCGGAATAGGAGAAACACATACTAAATCCCAAGCACTCCCTACTCCGGATTTTTTCCTTAATAACCCTAATCCACTAGGCTTACAGTAAGAGAAATAGAATCATGCCCAATATATTGCCTTCCAACACCTTGGCATTTCGTGCGGGCTCAAGTACCCTACCTGCTCCGGAAGAGCTGGAGGAAGTAGTTGTACTGGTAGTAGTTGTTCCAGAGGCTGAACTTATCGGATCCTGCTAATTTTATTAACTATGACATGCTAAAAGTGGCAATGAAGTGCGAGAAATGACTTACAAGAGTACCTACGCTTACAGTAACAGTGACAGTAGCAGGATCGGACTTCGTGCTTGTGGTGCTGGATATCGTTCTACGGCTGCTAGTTGACTTGACGGTGGCGGTGCTAATTGATCCTGATTTTGTAATGATGAGTGTCCCGCCGCTCGCGTTTGAAGAACTAGCCACGTTTGCCGTAGAGTTGGAACTCGCTGTACCCGTCGCAGCGGAGACAGGATCTACTGCTATGTCAGGCGTGTCTGTAGCAGTACCCGTAGTTGCATTAAGCTGAGTAGACGTAAGAGTGTTCGTAATATTCGACGTGAGAGTTATCGTTCTGGATCCCGATCCGCTAAGGGTGCTCGTCCTTGTGCTTGTAACTGTGGACGTGAAGGTTGTCCCCGGTGGATCTCCGTTGCTAGACGTAGAAGTGCCGCCTATGGAAACAGAAATTAATATCAGTGTATCCACACCGGTTGTTGTCAAAACAGAAGTAAACGTCGAACCAGAACTCGTGATCGTGTTTGTAACAGTAGACGTATAGGTTCTCGTTGTAGATACCGTTACCGTGTTTGCTCCGGTGCTACTTGGGTTCGTAGGTGTTCCCGTACTAGAGCTGCCTACGGTGCCTGTCCTTGTCCGTGTGAAGGTAGACGTCGCTACACTACCAGAGCTCGTATAAGTACTTGTGACGGTCGTCGTAAAGGTTCTCGTTGGAGAAAGACTCGAAGTTCCTGAAGTTGCTACAGTACTTGTCCTCGTTCTTGTAAAGGTTGAGGTGGCTAAGCTACCCGAGCTCGTATAGGTACTAGTCACAGTTGTCGTGTAGGTTCTGGTTGGAGAAGCTTCCGAAATTTCTGAAGTTCCTACAGTGCTTGTCTTCGTTCTTGTAAAAGTAGACGTCGCCACACTGCCCGAACTTGTGTACGTACTGGTGACAGTTGTTGTCAAGGTTCTGGTCGGAGAAGGTTCAGAAGTTCCTGCGGTACTAGTCCTTGTTCTTGTGAAGGTTGAGGTGGCTACGATGCCTGAGCTCGTATACGTACTTGTGAGTGTTGTTGTGTAGGTCGTTGGTGAAGTTGATATAGTACTTGTTCTTGTCCTTACAAGCGTAGATGTTACCGTGCTATCTGAGCTAGTATATGTACTCGTCGCAGTTGTCGTATAGGTTTTCGTTGATACTCCCGAATTGTTTGTTCTAGTCTTTGTGAACGTCGATGTAATCGTGCTACCAGAGTTGGTGTAGGTACTTGTGGCTGTTGTTGTGTAAGTCTGCGTTGGAGAGGCACTCGATATAATTGTTTCGGTCCTAGTGAATGTGGATGTGATCGTACTACCTGAATTTGTATAGGTGCTTGTGATTATTGAGGCGGATGGCCCTATTTCCGATACTAGGCTTGATCCCGTTATAGTATCCGTTCCTGTCAATGTAAAAGTTGATGTGAAAGTGCTACCAGAGCTTGTATATGTACTCGTGCCAGTCGATGTAAATGTATTGGTCCTTGTAGCCTTAGATGCCTCTATTTCTGTCGTCGTGAATGTCGATGTGAATGTATTGTCGGAACTAGTATAAGTTGAGGTGTATGTTATAGTCTGTGTCCCCGCTAAACTTGTATATGTTGACGTGAGCTTGGTTCCTGAACCAGTAGTCGAGCTTAGACTAGTTGATGTGGGGATACCAGTTGACGTATAAGTACTTGCTGATCTTGCGGAAGTCGAAGTTGAACCCCTTGACGAAATTGATGCGAGTGTACTTGGTCCAGAGGTAGGCCCACTGCTAATGAATGTGCTTGTAAATATCGCCGTACTCTGCCTGGCCCTAGTGCTAGTGAATGTTGAGGTATATGTTGTTAAGTCCACTGTGGTTTCTGTGCTTGTGAATGTTGATGTATATACACTCCCAGGATCCGAGATTGTGCTGATATACGTTGATGTATACGTACTAGGAAGAGTTGAAGAATATACACTAGTGATCGATGACGTGTAGGTGCTTCTAAGTGTGCTAGAAAATGCTGATGCATAGATGCTGGGTGCCGAGGTACTTATGCTATTAGTAAAGCTAGAAGAATAAGTGCTGAATGATGTATACTCGCCCGGAGTAGAACTTGATGTACTGTAAATAGAACTGGAAGAATACGAAGTGCCGAAAGTACTAGTGGATATCGTATTTATATTTGAAACTGAGCTTGGTATAGTAGAAGCAATGCGGGATGGATATGAACTTGCGAAACTATTGGTACTTGTAAATGAGTATGAACTTGAAAGGAAGCTGAAGGAACTACTCGAGAAAATCGAAGAATAGGTATCCGAATACGAACTAAATCCAGTACTAGAGAAAGTGGAAGGGTATGAAGTATAGGTCGAGGTGCCACTATTGCTGGACCAACTTGATGAGCCCGAAGTTGAGATGGTATTAGTTGTCCACGTGTTGGTGGCTGAGGAGCGGCTCATGTCAGTGTTAGTAAGACTTGAAGAGTACGGAGTCGTACCAGTACTAGTGATTACTGACCCGTATGTGTTCGAAGATCCACTGTATCCGCCGTAGTCTGAAGGCGCTTTTGTGGTTTGATAGCCGCCTTTAGTAGTATACGAAGAGCTATACGTAGAACCATACGTAGTATACGAAGGGGCATAAGTCTTAAAAATATTAGTCTGGAAGTGTTGTTGGATGTAGCTGGAGCATGGGTACCAGATTTGGATGTTAAGAGTATGAGAATATGAGATGGGGAGTAGTTAAGGGGGTCAAGGGGCGTATAAATGCTACTTACCGTTGAAGACCCATGACCATATGAAGTACACGTGCTGACGATAGTGCTATACTTGGTCTATAGTTAGCTAAGGCTTGACTCAATTTAATCAACGACTTCGAACGTCGTTATAAAAGAATAAGAACTGCTCAGGTAAGGAATTAGTAGATACTTACGACGTCTACCCATAAAGTGTTTACCACTGTTTCTGTAATCGTGTTTGTGACGACCTATTACAATTTGAAAGTCAGTAATGAATTTAACATATAGGCCATGATCTGACATAACGCTATATATTGTATCTTAGGCTGAAAAGCAGATACAGCTTTAGTGGGAGACTTACTACTGTCGCATAATCTGTTATAGTCCAGTAATCGGTCACGGTTGAGAAGTCTGTTATGGTTGAAGGCGCCCATGTACTTGTTTGAGTTGTGTAATAGGTGCTGGACTCTGATGAGGCAACGTCCTAACATGTATCTGGAGTTAGCAGAGTCTGATCAAAGACTGATTATGCTCTGTGATGACCATTCCGTCTTGCATTGGATATTAAACAAGCCTATCATGGGTAGCAAAGTAGGCCAAAGGCGTAAATAAAAGAACATTGACTTACAATGCAATTACCGAAGCCGAATGCGTTATATCCATGATTGAGAAAGCTCTGTATACCTGAGTCTAAGGAATGAAAGCCTCCGAAGCCGTGTCTGCCGTGGAAAGTACCGCCATGATTTAAGTGGTTCTTAATACCGTCGAACATTTCTCGTGTTGAGACTCGTACATTATTTACAGCACCTTGTATGGGGCGACATCCACACAACTGAGCAATTGTGTCTCGTCTGCCCACTAGTTGCGTTACGAGTGAACCAATGGATTGGTGAAATGGTTTTATAGCTGACTGTATGGACTGGAAATCCCCATCGCGAAGTGATCTGGCTGAGGCAATAGCAGCAGAAGTTGTCTTAATCGTAGAGGATAATGACTGGAATGCTAAGTTAAGATGATCAATAGTGCCGCCACTCCTCACACTTCGTATCGCGCGGTTTACGGTGTGGACCTGTTGGTTAGCCGAATGGATAGCATTCACAATGGAGTTGACTCCATGAGAGCCATGTGCGTTGTTTTGGCCTTCGTTATGAGATGCAACAGAACCATGTCCATGATTATTATGGCCGGAGCCATGGTTCGAATTTTTGTTTCCATGAGCTGCATTATCATGAGCGCCGACATGCCCATTATGATTGCGATTGGATCCTTCTAAATGATTGTTGGCATTGCCAGAACCAAATCCATGAACTCCTCCTAAGCGGTTTGCGAATGTAGCCACTATGTAAATAGAGATGGAGATTAGATAGAGGCTATGGAAGGATTTCATTGTGTCGGCCTTCCGAGATGAAATTGGGAAGGGGGATTATGAGAGAAAGAACGCAGTTCTTGATGGTTCTCTCATAGAGGCTCTTAGTTATTAGGCCGTTAAAAAGTAGCGATCTTTGAGTACTAGCTAGAAAAGGGGCACCAGAGCCCATCTGGTGGCCTTTTGGTCCTTTAAGACTCCTGTATAGACCGATGGAGTAGCACATTTTTAAAAGCGATATGGCGAATCTCATTATTGACTCAACCAACGGAGCTGTTGAAACGTGGTTGTGAATGCAAAAGGGGTACTGGAAGGGTTGCATGAAAACGGTGGGCATCGTCACTCTGGACTTCGGTAATAAATATAGCCTTAAAATGGGTCTACGAAGGAGGGTAGGTGATAGAGATACACGCAATATACCAACGAGGGACAATAAGAAGAAGCCGTTGATCGGCAATGGGTTATGTCGCCACATATACGATTCATCCATCTATATCGTCAATCCTCTAGTAAAGGCCAGCTAATAGCAAACCCTAATATTCTACAACCTACGATTACGCTTTCGTTAAGGATCTAGGGAGGCCAAGGCGGTAAGCTTATGAACTTGCATAGATGATTATTATTGCCCAATGACGATCTTAAAAGACGACATCCAGAATTAAGTAAGACAAAATAATGTATATAATGCGAGAAATGTTTTGGAGTGAGTTTAGCTCTCCATAGCATCTGAAAAGGGGGGCCAGCAATAACGTGGCTCGTCTCATAGACTTTGAGACTTGAAACTTAATCGGTGTTCAAACTTCCGATATTTGCAACCAGTGGACGAGTCGTGCTATGTGAATCTTCACATAAGGTAAGTAAATCAAGTATGTCTGGGCTGTCTTGTCCGGACTGCTTACTGTCAGTGCTATCTAGTTCGAGCTATGTACAATATACTATGTACGAGTTTAATTTACATACGCTAATAGAATCTCTGTGATAATAGTACAGCACGTCTACTCCGGCTTCCGCCCCCAGACAATCTTGAGTGGAAAGACGGCCCCTTTCTCACTAAGTTCCTTCTCTAAGTCCGCCCTCAAAGTATCATATCTCTCAGCTGGAAGGGGCTGCTTCTCCGGCGGGAACGCTACAATATATTATTAGTAAAATAGACCACCCTACCCCTTAATTTAGGGGTACCTAAGGTATACACTCACTCTTCGCAAATTTTGACAACCCCTCAACTGCAATTCCGCAGCTCCGGACACCGTCTTCGCATAGGCTATCATCTTTATTTGTCCGGCCCATCTTCAGCACTACTTCTTCCTCGCTGATATCCGTGCATCCCACGCCCTCTAGCAGGCCCTTTAGGGTCCCGCCGATCTCCCATGCGGCGCCTACGTGTTCCGCGACGCTCTTCATTAGCCGGAGCAGGTCGCTGTACGCAGGCGTGCGCTCATCGTTCACTATCTCGGGCGGGAATACCATAGTCGCCTCGCAGAGCTGGATCCAGCCGCCGGGTTTGAGGAGGGAGTATAAGTGGGAAATAGAAGGGGCGGGAGCAGGCCCGGCACCGAGGAGGGTTAGGCGTTGGTGAACGAGAGAGAATTGACCATGTTGAGATTCAGGCCAAGGCTTTTTGATGTCTTGGACCGTAAACGACACATTTGGGGGAGGGGAAGGAGGAAAGGGGGCGGGGTTGAGGTCTGTGCCGACGAACTCATGCGCGCCGGTAGGTAGGGAAGGGAGAGAGAATGCTAAGTCGAGGAGCCATGTTCCATCCGCGGTACCGCTATCAAGAACCTTGACCGGTTGAGAGAAATCGACGGGCGCGCGAACGAGCTTACCACCCATAGCATCTTTAGCTATGAAGTGGTTACTAGCCAAGCGCTTGCGCTCCCCCTGGCTCTCCATCCAATACTCGCTTTTGTGCTTGCCGGCCATATTGCAAGGGTGTGAGCGTAGAATTCTAGAATGGGTAAAATCCAATAATTACGTCAAAGCCAATAAGTTACGATCTAGAGATACAAGCTATAAAGAGACGTTCCATGATTCAAACTATGGAAATGAGACTACGTTTATGAGCGTAACGTAATAGTATTGGTGTGTCTATCATCCTTCCGGTCCCTCGGAGTTACCGATCGGTAGCTTTTAGTCTTGGCTCGGCCTCATCCATCGGTTGGTATTCACGGTTCGAAATGGGGAGAAAAAAGAAAGAAATCAATTGTCTTACAAGGAACAGATGATATGAATTAATCTGATGAAATATATATACGATTTTGGTTTAAATTAAATCCGCGATACTTACAATTAACTATTCTTCGCTCCGTTCGATTGTGACCTTTGTTCTTCTTCTCGTCTCTTTGCAAAGTACTCCACCATGGCGATGCCGCCGCGTTCGTGGAAGAATAGGTCCTGGTACATCACCGTAGCTTCTGCATTTTTCTTTGCGCGCGCCCACATGTCAACTTCGAACTTTACAAGACGTTCGCTCAATAATGATGAATCTTTTCCGGTGCCCTCGCCCATTATGGCATGTGCAAGTTCCAATGAGTCTTTCATGGCTACGTTGACGCCGACTCCCGCGAACGGGTTCATTAGATGTGCCGCGTCTCCAATAAGTGTAATCCTAGGACGAGATGGGTTAGTCGATACTAAATTTTATATGTAAGATGTGGTAAAGAAATAGTTCCCCTAACCTTGGATTGTGTGACCACTGGAACCCAACGGGAAGCATATACAATTGTCGTCCTACAGTGTCCGGATCGCTGTCTAGTACTAGTGCCTTCTGCAGGTCAGAATATTCTGGATAAAGCGCATCAACAACCTGTCTCCGAGCATCTGGATGGGTGGGGTCGATCCCGGACGCCGAGAACCAGTCGACTGGTACACGGGCGAAGGCGTAGAGCTGAACCGTGCCGTCGCCATTACGTTGGCACATAAGCCCCTTGTTCGACCCCAAATTAAGACACATTCCTTGTCCCACGTGGGCGGATAGATTCGGATGCTTAGCGTCCACATCTGAGATACGACAGTCTAGACCTGCGATGCCCGAGTAGAAAGGCTCGGTATCGCTGATGCTCGGTCGGACCTTAGACCATGCCCCGTCAGCACCGACGACGAGGTCGAAGTCGGGTTTTTCATGATTGTCAAAAACCAAAGTCAACTTGGAATTCTCTTGAGTGTGGATTTTGACAAGTTTGGAGTTAAAATGCACAGTCCCGGGGGCGAGCGAATCCAACATCAGGTCACGCAACTGCGTACGGTCGATCTCGGGGCGGTCAGCGAACTCTCCGGGACGACCGGGTTCGCCTCTACTCTCGTCCATGAGTATCGTACCGTTGGATGAGAATATCCGTAGAGTCTCGCCCTCCGGTCTGACCAGCTTCTTGAACTCTTCGAGTAAGCCGGCCTCTTTTAAGGCCAGTTGCCCGGAGTCCGTGTGGAGGTCTAAGCAGCCCCCGCGATTCTTCGCGTGCCGGTCGACATCTCTTTCGAAGACGTTACATTTAATAAATGCACGTTGCAGCAGCTTCGCCAACGTGAGACCGGCCGGGCCAGCTATTTTCATGAATTAGAAAATGATGAATGATGGTCAATATAAAAACCTCTCTTACCTCCGATAACTGCAACATTCAGGGTTGTCATTACGTCGTTTTTAGTTGGCCAAGCTATGGTCAATGAACTTCGGTTCGGTTCCGGACTCGCACGTGTATATACGACGGATGAAGGTATATTCAAAAATATAGCATCATTTAATAAGCTGCTGAGCTTCTCAGCCTGGCCGAGTAAATACCTTAGGTACCTAATCAGTCGATCGGTCACCGAAGTTACAGCTAAAAGTCGGCGTATTCCAACAGGGCCCATAAGCCCCGAAGTTCTAAAAATGGAAAATTACCAACATTGGCAATTGAAGTGTCTAATACTACTTAAAGTAGGTACTTTGTACTGTTACTGAGTAGGTATCTACTCGTGAGGCTCTTACGGAGACGAGTATACCTAGTAACTGGTCGGCTCACTAGAAGCTTATTATCGATGAAGATATATGATAGGTTGTAAGATAATAGAGAACGTAAGTGAAAATATGATTAAAGAATCATTACCACCGAGTGGTGTCGACGTCCACGAGATAGCGATATTAGATGCAAACGACAGCAAAAAAACTATCGATGGAAACGATGACCGAAACAACAAGTTCGCCTCGATTATCGTCCGAGCGATCTCGATGGTGCTTGGCGTGAGTGTGGATGAGATCTACTATATCGCAGATACCACTACCTTCATCAAGCTTGGAGGTAACTCACTATCCGCAATCCTCATTTCTGCAGAATGTCAGAGAAAAGGGATTTTGGTACCGGCCGGAGTATTCTTGCGGATATCAACTGTGAAAGAAGTCATAACAACAGCTGCGAGCTTGGCTCAGCGGATATCAAGCCCTATACCTACAATCATAGTGACAGAAGATACTAGCGATGATGTCAACGATGATATTAGCGGCGATGAGGCATCATCTATATATACTTCGATCACGACGCCGGACCCGGAGACGGAAGACTTATCTCTGTTTAGTTGTGGAAAGGAGGTTATCACAGCAGAAAGCCTTCTGAGTAAAATTGACACCACCGAATGGACGGAACCGCAGCTACTTCTGCTTCGGGAAACCTCTCAAAACCACAAGTTAAACATATTGACAATACACGAGTCTTACACGGGTGACTGGGATGTCCAAGACGTCTGCGACGCCTGGATGAATACGATTGTAGCGGAGCCAATTTTCAAGGATCTCCTTGACGACTTAGATGTTTTACCACAGCAACTTTTACCCCGGGAGATAATTCAAACCGACAGCGATGAAGATTTACAGAAAGAGACTCTTCACGCAGCTCACGCTACCGGTCCTATATCCAGACTCACAGTTGTACAGTCATCTTCGCCTTCGGCATCGGGGGAAACGGCGAAGTCTACTACTGTCGTCTGGCGCATACATCATGCGTTCATGGATGGCTATTCTGCTCATATTCTACGCGATAAGATCACTCGTACTTTACGAGGAGGAGAGTTTGTTGTCCCTGCGGGCCCGTCATTCAGGGAGACTGTGCGTTTTCTGGGAGTCTTACGAGAAGAAAGAAGCGAATCTACGAGACGCTTCTGGAATAGCAAACGCGAGAAATTTCCCACTGCAACTGGCGAGTTATGCCTGAGTCCGCAAAGGATAGCCAAGACGGCAGAGGTTACCCCTCAGAAATCTGCCACGATCCAATTTCCCAGTAGACAACTAGCAGAAGCCGTAACACGAACGGGATATACCACGACGGTGTTCTTCGCTGCAGCATGGGCCCTGACTCTTGGCAAGTTTGTGGATGTCGATCAGGTCTGCTTCGGAGTAGTGTTCTCAGGACGCGACTTGCCAATTCCTGGAGCTTTCGATGTCGTCGGACCTCTGATTAATATCTTGCCGCTGTTCGTACAAGTACCAACCAAAGGCGACGAGACCTCGGTTGAAACGTTCTTACGGCGGATTCATGATGACATTCTTGACTTAAGCAATGTCCAACATTCAGACACCACAGAGGGATTTGATAGGAAATTATACTCCATCATGGCTACGCAATTCGAATGTGACGAAGAGGAGGTCCCAAGCCCGATCCATATAGATCGAAACAGACCCGATATGCAGTCCGGAATTCCTCTGAACATCGTTATTAAGGAAGAATGCCGATTGCAAATGCTGTACTCGACTGCCCACTTTGCGGACGAGGACATGAGCAATTTGCAAGCCGTGTTTAAAAACAGCATGAACTGTCTTCTGCAAGGAAACGACGCAAATCGATTAGTATCAAGCGTAAATGATGCGCTACTACCACAGGATATGGAGAAGACGATCCGAGACTGGAGTAACTGCGCCTCCTTCGAGACCTTAGATGAATCCAAGGGGGACGATCTAGTGACGCTCTTCGAAAGTGTCGTAGCGAGACAACCTAACGATCTGGCGATCATTCATGGCGAACTCGAGGTATCCTACGACGACTTAGATCAAGCGGCCGCCATTGTCGCGCAGAAATTAAGTTTGATTGAACCCAACGAGGCCGTCTGCGTCTACGCCGACCGATCGGTGAATTGGCTTGTCGCCATCTTCGGCGTGCTAAAGGCAGGCGGAGTGTACGCTCCGTTAGATCCCTCAGCGCCAGTGTCCATGCGGCAGGCGAATTTCATTCGGAGCGGGGCGCGCGCCGTGCTTGTTCCCTCGCGTGCTACATCTCGGCGCATCGTTTCGTCGCGACAGGAAGAGGATGATGCGGCTCCGTTCCAATGTCTGGTATTAGGCGTTGATGATCTACTCGCGGCCGACAGTGCCCAGGCGCGCAATGGCTTCGAGGCGTGTTATCCAAGGAGGCGTATTGCCCGCCCGGATGATCTCGCTTATATCTGCTTCACGTCTGGGTCGACCGGACAGCCCAAAGCCGTACAATGTACTCATAAGGGCTTGGTGGCTTTTCAAAAGGACCGGGTTGTTCGTCTAGGTGCTTCGAAAGGCGTCGTGGTTGCCCAGATAATGTCTCCAGTCTTTGACGGCAGCATACATGAAATATTTTCTGCATTGACGCATGGCGCCACGTTACGGTTGGCGTCGCCTGATCATCAGGGAGACCCTTTTTCGCACCTACGGGATAGCGATGTGGCCATCTTGACTCCCTCTATCGCCAAGGCACTTGATCCCAACCAGTATCCTCGGCTGAAAAATGTATGTAGATACGATGTGTCTTTAACTACCTAAGATAAGGAGAAAGCTAACATGTCTCTAGGTTTACCTCGTCGGTGAAGCCGTTCCCCAGTCCCTTTGTGAGACGTGGACTAAGAACCGCTCGCTGTACAACATGTACGGACCAACTGAAGCGACTTGTGGCACAACGATCAAGCAGCTGTTCCCGAACGAAGCTGTCTCCCTTGGTCGACCGAACCCGTCGAGTAGAGTATACATCCTCGATCGTAGTCTTAGTCTACTCCCACCCGGCGTAGTCGGCGAGTTGTATATTGCAGGAATACAAGTATCATGTGGATATATCAAGCTGCCGGAGCAGAATGCAAGCCGCTTTTTAGAGGACTCGGTCATGCCGGAGACCGGCCAGAAGATGTATAGGACTGGCGACTATGCTTATTGGAACAGTGCGACTGGAGATATCTGTATCCTTGGACGTAAAGACCGACAGATCAAGCTGAATGGCTTCAGACTAGACCTTGATGACTTAGAAGCACGAGTCGCAAAGGCTATCCCTGGATGCGGAGGTACTGCCATATTCCGCCGCGACGACCACCTAATAGCAGCCTATCAAACTACTTCGCCTGATGAAATTAGCACATTGGACGTGAAAGCATTTATTAGCAATACCTTACCTCCGTACGCCATGCCCCAGAGAATCGTCGCATTTAACGAGTTCCCTCTTACCGCGGCGGGTAAACTTGATTATAAGACGATTGAAAAATCCATCAGCGCGAGTCTTGCAGATACTAACATTGAAGCCCTACCGCAGAAGAGGACTATTGGCGCGACTGAGATTATAGTCGTGAGTATCGTTCGTGACTTCATGAAGCTCGACCCAAGCGTACCTGTAGATCACGACTCGAATCTCACGGAACTTGGCTGCCATTCTATCCTGCAGCTACAATTGGCGAGTCGAATATCATCACTCGTTAAGCGGCACTTCCCAGTACGAAAAGTTATCGAGAATCTTGTAGTATCACGTCTGGCATCTGCCATTGACGATATACTGAAGGAAGACAACGTAATCGATGTAGCCATTTCAGAACCCCTATCGAGCCTTGCTTCTGACAGTATAACTCTCGGAGAAAGCGAGGTATCGTCTATCGAACGCGATTGGTTTTTGAAATACCAGCGAAACCTTGGGACATCGTCGTTCAACGTATCCCACGTCTCGGAGTTAGACGCGTCCTTTGACCAACATCAGGCATTGGTATCAGCTTGGAATGTGGTCCTTGCAAGACATGATATTTTGCGCTGTAGATTTCGCCAATCTGCAGACGGTAGTGTGGAAAGATCATATGCAGTCAAATCTCCCAAGGCTGTATATGCTGAGGATTTCGATGTCCGAGCTGCGATCAACAAGGAATTCTTACTTGAGTCGGAAGACCCGATCCGAGTACTGCTGTCAAAGCGCTACATGCTGGTTTGTGTGAGCCATATCATATGTGACTACACAACTCTCAACCGCCTATTTGAGGAACTTGCGGCGGTATATTTTAATGATCATAGTGAAGAATTATCCTTAGCCCCCCAAAAGCGATACCAGGACACGACATATTGGAATCTCGACGTCGACCAAGCCACAGCCAATTTCTGGAAATCGTACCTATCCGGCATTGATGTTTCAGAAATGCCACCATACATGAAAAAGCCTCGTACTTCATACCACGGCGAATCCCTGTTATTTCGCCTATCAAAAGACACAATGACAAACCTTCGAACAGTCTCGCGATCGCTACGTCTTACACTACATCAGATCGCCCTAGCAGTCGTGTCCCTAGTTCTCCAGGCTGATAATCCGTCAAAGCAAGACTTATTCCTCGGCAGTCCATACCTCGGGCGACAGGAGGACGACATGCGTACCATCGGATTATTCCTACAGCCGCTCCCAATTCGTATCCGGAGACGATCAAACCAAGACGAGAGTGACTTCAAGGAAGCCTCTTTAGCAACTTTCCTTCAGGCCGTGCAAGAATCCTCGCGCTCTTCCCTCGGCCATGCCATTCATTGGGATTCTCTAATGGATATTCTTGCATCTTCAGACGATGAGAAATTACGATTAGCCGCGGCTACAGAGATTCCCAACAATCCGCTGTTCGACGCCATGGTCACCTTCCACGAACTCGATACTACCGGAAAATCGTCGTCGTCCACCATTCCCGGGATCCAGCCGTTAGTGAACTGGGCTGAAGGAGCTAAGTTTGGGATCATGTTTGAATTTTCAGCCGTCAGCTCGTCGTCGGTAACACTCCGCGTCGAGTACGACACATCGCTATTTTCGTCAGACGAGGTGCGGCTCTTTGTTGCGCGGATCGATTCTGGGTTGAGATATTTCTGCGAAACCCCAGAATCTGTTACACTTGGGGAATTGGAAGGTAAACTTTCAGATGTTGGAGTTGGAGGTTTGTCTGGCAGGATCGAGAATGTGGAATTTGGTACCCCTATTGCGGCTTTGACATAGGGGTAGTCCACGGGAGTTGTCGGGTTTGATTACCAAGGCGTTAGGGGTTATTGTTTTACAGTAGGGGCGTAATACCATTTTTCATGTTTTGGGGCTTGTGGACGTGATTTATTAGTATATTTTTACATTTTGTAGTTTAGGTAGTTTTATATCTTACTTTCTTCTTCCAATATTGATCTTACATTTTCTACCACCATTTTATTCGTTTGCAATCAGATGAATAGTGAAAGCGAACAAGTTCAGAGTGGTCATGATTCCAATAACTCTTCATATTCCAACAATAATGATATTTCTACCGCTTCAAGTAGTCGTCCTCCGTCTGACCCAGATCATCTGTTCCATATCCGGCCCCGTCTTCTCGTCTTTAACCCAATTCTTTGGTCTCTCCTTCTGTCCTTCCGGAAACCCGAATTCATAGTCAATTAATAGCAAGCATAGTACGAGTTTGATCTGCGCACTCGCATACCATCGCCCCGGACAAGCCTGCCGCCCCGCTCCAAACCACGAGTCGCCGGCTGCTACAGAACTGAACAGGTTCGCCGTATCGATGTCTGTGCCGGCTTCAGTAGACGGCGCGTAGAATCGGAGCGGCCGGAACTCGAGAGGTGCCTCATATAGCGCAGGGTCGCGCGAACGAGCATCGGAAGCGGCGCAGATGTGAGTGCCCGCCGGGATAGTGAATCCGTTAGACAGGGTGATTGGTGCCAATACGAGACGCTGGAATGAGACCACACCGGCAGAGTTGGTGCGGCCGCTTTCCTTAAAAAAGCTCTCCATCTTACGCAGCCTCAGCAGCGAAGTTTCGGTCCAGCCATTAGCCCCAATCTCCTCGAGTGCCTCAGCACGTAGCTCTTCCATAAACCCTGGGTGAGTGCAAATGTCGTACAGGATATGAATTGTGGTGATGGCGCTTGTGTGCATTGAAGAGACAATAAGGAAGAGGATTTTCAAGGCGATAGCGTCGGGTCGGGCGTCTTCGCCTTCAGCGGCCTCAGAGAGCCAGCGTACGAAATCTTTTGGTTGATCATCGGACTTGGCCCCCTTCTTCTCACTGACATGCTGCTGCCGGGATTGAATCACAGGAGCCAGGAGTTTCGTCACATGAGCAATATCGGCACGAAGTTTCCGGCCGCATTGCAGAGTGTACTGTGCTATGGGACGTAGGGTGGGTGAGATACGCCTCATGGTCATGGAGAAGATGGCTACGGATGCAGTGAAGCCCATGATAGTCTCGAGCCATACTGGGTCTTGCGATATGGCGGGGTCGTCAATGACCCTGCGGGAGGTGATTTGGCCGATTGCGGCAAAGATAATAGAAGATGCTTTGACGGCAGTGAAATCTAATAAGAAGTTAATATGGCGGGAATAAATGTGACATTTTCGCTCAGCGCTTTTGATGAGTGAGTGAGAATTACCTTTTGAATTGCACTGACTGAGAACATTTTTCAGAGCTAGATCTGCTTCTTCTTTCATCTGCGGCAACAAACTTCCTGATTCATTGCTTATTAGTATATTTCATTCCATTTTAAAGCATGCGAAGTGGTAATACCTATGTTCTTGGTCAATTGATGCCTCACGATATCGCGATGGATATTCGTTCCTCGGACGGCATTAAGCTTGGTGTATTTTCCCATAAACCGATCCAGGAGCTCTTCCTTGAAGCTAATACGGTTGTCCGGCAGGTTCTTCAACTCCTCGATAAACTTATCCGGGACTACGAGACGCTCGTTGTCACATGTTTGGATGAGGTATGGAGTATCTTTGTGCTATATGATTTTCTCAGTTGGCAAGAAATGATTAAGAGACGGATTCAGACAGATGTCTTAAACGAACCTGTTCATAGCCTTCCTCTAGTAACTGCTGTCCGCGAGCATAAAATTCATCTTTAGCAGCTTGCAGTCGTAGACCGAATAAACCTGGGTCGATCCCAACTCGTGGTAGCCCCTTGAATCGTCTTCTTGATGATATTCTCTCCCTCACCCAAGTCGCGAACAACACACCCACTAAAGCAATGACAACAGAGCTAGTTGACAACATGTTAAATAGTTATCTTCGTATTGAAGTACTGTAGCAGTATATTGACAGATTCGATGCTTAACACGGTCTTACGATGCTCTAGTATAGTACGTTGAGCGAGAATGAGTATCACGGCATGGATTGAAATGGCACTGCTAGCAACTCTTCCGTAAAGCTTAACATGACAAATCTCACAAATCGATTGCTCTTAGTCGTTGTCGTTATTGTAAAATTGTATCAATTGAAGAATCATTTCGGTAATCAATTACATCCCTACGTTCATAGGACGATACACGCCTCACACGATTCACTCACCTCACGCGCCGAGACACCGATCAATAATAGCTCGTCCGATTCGGCGTAGTCGGTATCGCCGTTATGCTTAAGAAACGATACAATTTCGTACACATCTCAATTATACGCGCGCGGGTGCATTTACATCTATAATCGGCAATCGGTGACCGAAGGAATCGGCTGGTGCAACAAAGGAACATGCACGATAGCTGCGTCCGAGATTGTTGGCCCTACTACTATCATGGACTATACCATTCATACCAGCCACCTATCTTATCTACATTCCGAGATATCTACTAGCATGAGTAGACAGGATTTACAACACAATCCCGATCAACATCTTACTAGTGACACTCATCGCTCATAGACAAGCCCCTCCACCACAAAAATATTCAACTCACTTCAGTTTATTATTCTATCAGAGAAATGACAACTTAAAAAAGCCACATAAAAAACCCCAAATTTATATATATCACCGTCATAATGGTCTTCCGCGTATACATGCTCGCTGTCAAGGCCCCCGGCATCACCCTTGAAGAATTCAAAGACCACTGGGACAACAAGCACCTCAACCTGCTCAAGGAGATCGCCGGCGACGCTTACCCCGACGTCCACGTCCACCGCTACCCAGAAAAGGTCCAGGGCCCTGCGGAAGCCCACTACGATGGTATAGGCTACCTAGAGTTCAAGGACAGGGCGGGATTCTTGAGGTTGAAGGAGATTGCGGAGAAGCCGGAGAACCAGGCAAGGTTGGACAAGGATGAGAGGACATTTTTGGACAAGACCAAGATCCAAATGTACGTGGTCGATGATGAGGAGTAAAGGAAAACCTGTAGTCTCCCGCAGATACGATGAATTTCAAGGAAATGAATGTCAAAGAAATGCACGATGTAATTTTCCCCTTCTTCTTGTGAATCGTGCATCGTACATTCGGTAAAGTGAGATAAAAAATGTTCGGAGTTACTAAAGTTCTGATAATTTTGTATTTCAGCACAGTGATGTTCTAAGAATTTCTATATTGATGATAAAGTAAAATTTCATTAAATGCAGACATCAACGTGAAACATCAACGTGAAAACTACTGTATAGGTAGCTTTGGTTTATATGTACAGGAGATAAACACGATACAATAAGATTGAAATGCTCGCCCCCAACCAGTTAGCCATCCCCATAATCTAAACCTCCAAGTTGCCCCTTTATTGAGCCTGGGGATATTGATTTTGTAGATGTTGGCTCTGACTATACCGATGTTGAACACATTGCTCCGGGAGACCTTGAGGCTTCCCGCTAGGATGATACTGATTCGTAGCAGTGTAATTATACGTTGTCCATTGGTTGTCGGCCAGCTTCGTCGTTGAACCCATGTTCTCCATCGGGATGTGGTCCATGGGATTCGCTTCAACATCTACTGAATACTCGACCTTGCGGGAGATACTTCCGGTCTTGTCGCCCTTGGTGCTGCCGAGACGCATCCACGTCGGCCTTAAACCTGAGACTTCAGAGCCGCTGGCGGGGCGCCATGTTGAGAAGGAGATGAGCCTAAGAAAGGGGATCTTAAAGATTCTCTGCAGCGCCGCAGGCATGACAGGAAGACACGCGTTGATGATGCCGAGGTTGACCTCGAGTCCGGACCACAGGGCGTCTTCGACGACTGTCATGGTGAAGTTCAACTTCGCTTCCGGGGTGGAGAAGTGGACCACGTTATATGTACGCCATGCAGTAGCGAAACAAACACTGAGGAAGTCGTTAGTCTTGTACGTAATAAAACGTGAGTAGGTGATATTAGCACTTACAAGATACCAAGGCCAAAGACGACAGTCAAGGCGATCTTCTTGCGTGAGTTCAACTGCAACGTCCAGAGCATAGGCATCGGAAGGACCAGTATGCACACGTCAAGGATGAGGTTGAAGACGGAGCTGAGGAGAAACTTCATGCTCAAGTTGCCGCAGTACTGCATAACCGCAGGCCCAATCTCCCAGTTGTACTTAATGGGTCTGCAGATAGCGAAGAAAGTTATCGTGCAGCCGACTAGGTACGCGATCGCGCACCCCTCGAAGAAGTAGACTACCTTGCGGAACTTCTTTACGGAAAATACCTGCGCTATGAAGTCGAGGATAGATAACCGCACGAAAGTGTTGGCCCACGCTTGCAGGAGCCATGCTACGACGAATGACTGGAGATGAAATTAGTTGACGTTGGAGAAAAGATTTAAAGGGGCTGGTATAATTTACCTTTTGTGTAATTGTACGCTGCGGGGGAGCCACTCGTATAAGCGGGAAGCCAACGCCGCCTTGTTGAACCACTATGTACTCTAGTTAGTCGATCGATCGTATATAATAGGGGCGAAGGTTTTCTTTTCTTTCTTCTTACCTAGCCAGCAGATAGAAAGATACCCCGCCGAAAAGACGGCAGCAGCAATGATAGCATAGTCAGTGAACCGAAGCGAGATCTTCTTTATGCGCTTCGCCCACAGTCTAAGGCCGATACATATTATTGCCAAGATGAAGAATGTGGTTACGGGGGCTACCAGTAGTACGGCTCTGGGAGGTAGTGGTTCCTTAGATGGGTCGATGAAGGGCCCTGTTGGAACTGGCGGTCCTGCTGGACTGCTCATCCTGTAGTAGAGCGATGGGGACGGGGGACAGATACGACGAGAGAGCGAAAGACTCGGACGAACTGGAGATGGGGAGGGCAATCAAGGCTCGTATATAGTACAGTAATTGGACTAGAAGAGTTGGGGATACTTGGATAGATATTCTTCGAGCCCCTCAGCCATACCCGTGGGCGTCAGCTATCTCCATGTAGGAAGATATGTCATTATTGGCACTAATGAAGTGTCCATATACGGATCAGTTAACAATATTGACAGGCCTAAAGCGACCATCCATGGTTCTAGATCTGCTTCACACATCCCTACGATCATGGCTGCAAGGCCGTTGTTACGGTACTTTGTATCCTGCCAGACGTACATATCAAGTACCTACCTATATAGTGCCCTCGTGAAGTTTACTACCAGGTTAGTTCAACACTATTAATAGAAATAACTGCTGAAAGGTACACTTTCGTCCCAGGGCAAAGCTGTGCCTTACGTAGCAGGTATCTAACTTGTTATAGTGTAAGGGGTCCAAGTGATATTTTGCTTTCACACTTTTCAACATAACGTAGCATTACCGAAGCAGCGTACGATTGAGCTGGGGTTTGGGATGGGATTGAACCTTAACCACGTTTTCCCCAGCTTCCTGGCAAGAATATGTGAATGGCCTGATTGATATATTGGTTTGCTAAATGATTTCTGGAGTTAAAGGTGATACATCAGATGAGCGTTGCATTATGATGAATTGCTATCGCTGCTCTTAGAGTTGGCTTCTCGCTTGAATGTGAGATTTGATATAAATGGGGTTTTCTTTTCTCTTCTTTTTTAGTATTTTCTCGTCGTATTCATCCTTAAGCTTACCTTGTGTAACCTGAAGACCAAGCTGAAGACTTTCTTTTTTGCAGATAGACTAAACGCCTTCCTCGAATCCGAATTTCGGCTCAAAGGTTCCTGCAAGTTCTTACTTTCCGTTACATTCTTCCAGCTTACGTTATATTCGTAGACAAACGCAACGGTTTTGGTTAGTCTTTAGTGTATTCCTCGTCGGACTACGTTCTGTACTTGGAAAAGGTTGAAGCAATTGTAGATCTTGGCGGATCTAAGCTGGGCAGGTCGAGCAGAAAGGGGCCGGGGTGACGGACGAATCCCGGGTATGATGTCACCACGTGGTTTTCCGCACATGCGGTGGAATGAATCTGTGTACTAATTACCCAGGGCCTGCAAGTACATAGGTAACCGTTGTACTACCTATGCAAAGCATAACGCTCAGACTGTGGAGGGTGGATGGTCATCAATTGTTTTGATTGGTAGCCTCGCAACACCTGAGAATATTAAACTCCCGTATCGTTGTATTGTAATTATTGTAAGTCTTTTTTATTGTTTGCTTACCAATTGATTAGAATATTTGCTACGGGATGAATACCTTGGTTGACTATTTTTTGTCAAATTATTACATTGTTGCAATTGAAGGACTATACGATTCCTACAGAGCTGATTTGCATTTTAGGTACGAATATAATGCATAATTGCGGCGAAACAAGCATCTTTTGGAGAATTGGATATGGCTAATTATGAGAAGGATTCCAATCGGTCCTTTCTTTCAGCCTCATAAAAGCGGGACTATATCGCTTTCTGTCCACTGCCAAGCTTGATGGCTTACTGCTTCATCATACGTGCTCTTAGATTCAACCGTAAAATCGTTGACTAATATTCATCTGTAACACGTACATAGATAGGTACTTTCCTATTCAAGCTAAATCACGCTAAACTTTAAGCTTAATCAATTCCTCGGGACTCTAGGGGGGGGGGGGGGGGGGGGGGGCGGGGGGGGGGGGGGGGGGGGGGGGGGGGAGGGGGGGGGGGGGGGGGGCGGCGGGGGGGGGGGGGGGGGGGGGCGGGGGGGGGGGGGGGGGGCGGGGGGGGATA